GGGGTGACCATGCTTTTCAACTAGCGAGGCCAAGCACTAATATAAGTGTCCCCGCTGTCCTTTCCGGAAGAGGGCGTTGAAGGCCGGTTTAAGACAATTTCTTGACTCGCTCACCTTTGCTCTTCTGACTCGAAATAAACTACTGCATATTGGGTTGGGTTCGGTACGTACCTTTTTCTGCCACAATAGGGACGCCCCTTTGTCCCGAAGAATCAATTTGATGGTGAGGAAGAAGGGGGATTCCAATCCCTGTGGGGACTTCAAAGATCAAAAGCTGGTCCATCCCGTTCCACACGGGCCTGACACTGTTACGTCAGGACCTTCAAATTCTTCAACTGCCACCCTTCGAACCCTGCCTCAACCCTGCAACGACGCATCGCATCTTACCAATTTGACGAGGGCTCCCCTGAACGAGAGTTCGGAACCTGAAGCAAGAGGCGGCTTCCTGATCATACTTCGTACATTGTCGCGTACAAGCACGGGGGTAGTTGTCCAAGGGAAAACGCGCTGGGCGGTCTGTTGAGTGATGCTGCTAATAAACCTCGCACCTCTTATTGAATGGCGGCTGGCTTCATCAAGGGCGTGATTGGTAACTTTGAAACTAGTCCTCAGCCATACCTGCCGCACCTGGCCGTCGCTATGCAAGGGAGTATCGAAGTAAACTCTTGTGTCCCTCCAAAACGGGGGAGGGGGTGGGGGCGGTTTGAAAGGAAAAAAGAAAGAAACAAGGAAAAGGGATTCGCCAACGATTGTTGACTTGTACGAAGTACTTTGCAGTATCTCAGCTCCACGGCGCTCTAGTGCCGAGCTTTGCACACGATTGTTTAGACCGCCCGCTGGAAGCATGATACCTGGTTCTTTCCCTGCAAGGTTTGAAGTCCAAGGGGGAAAAAAGAAACAAAAATAAGAAAAATATCCCGGCCTCGCTTCGAAGGAGACGTCGACGCCACATCATTTGCCTCGTCCATTTGCAAGGAGACAACCCCACGCAGGGTTACATCTGCTTCCACATCCGTGAGGGCCTGCGAAAAGGGGGCCGGGTGAGCCTTCCCGTTTGGTGGTCGATGCTAGCCTTCCCGTCAGAGCTAAATCACTGGATTCTATCCGAAAACAAGGGCCTCTTCATGCTGTTCCTTGTCGAAGCCTTCCACGCGTTGAATAAAGCATAGATCACTTTATGAGGAAGGGGTAATATCAGGTCGGAGAGCACGAAATGCTTGATGAGTTGGTTTTGCTCGAGATCTAGAAAGAAGAGGGGCCGGATTTTACGTCTCATGTACGTACGGCCAAAGACACATCACTACGAAGCAATCAATGAATTGCTTGCTGGAAGGCCTGGAATGCGGTGAAGCGCCCCTCTTGTCTTTTGTTTTTATTATTTCCATCGACTCTCCACGAACCTTACCTGTCAATAAAATGAGCTTTTGAGGGAGAAGCAGTGCGAGAAACCTTGTTCAATGGCTGAGAGAGCATTCAATGAGGGTTTCTCCCTCCGGATTCCCTGTCGAAGCGGAAGTTTAGGGAAGCCCTTGGCTAAGACGGACTTTGGGGCCGGATGACCCAAGATCACAGCCAAGTGTACTGAGTCCAAGTATTGGCAGGGTTGAGGGGATGCTGTTCAGCTCAAAGAGAATGGAAAGTTCAAGGGTGGACAAGTCAAAGATATTCTAGGATGACTAGACCCGGAAATTGGCGTCTTGGACAACCAGCGTTTGGCCCAAGGCGCCAAGCAAAAGGCCCATTCAACACCAACCGAAATCAGAAGCCAGAGGCCAGAAGGAGGCGCAACCCCGAAGAGTCTAGGATCAAGAGGAGAGAAACCTGGACTAGATGGAGCGCCCACGCCTTCAGGGCTGTTGCACCCCAGGCATAGTGTACGTAATACCCCCAAGCTTAGCATGGGGAACGCGCTCTCATTTGCCATTTTACCCTAGGCGGAGTGGAGTGGATCGAACGAGAGAGACTGAGCTGGTGCTGCGCTACTAGGAGTGTCGAGGTTCAGGAGTGACAGGGGATACAGAAACCGTCGAAGCCCCCAGAATGGCGGCCAGCTTGCCATTCCTTCCTTTCCGGTTTTCTTCTTCAGACCCCCGTAGCCTCGCCAGCAATGAGGAAATGAGAGAACTTGCCCAGGAAAGTGAGGGAAATCACTCGTTATCGTATACTCTGCCACCAATTATTACTGGTCAGCCAGGTATTAATAAGAGGAAGACACCGAAAATAAGACTGAAATAATAGTAAAGAAGAGGAGGTGGAGGTAGAAGTGGGGGAGAGGAGAAGGTCCGGGGGTGAGGGGAGTGAAAAGGCTATTTCCGCGAGCCAGTCCTGCGGTGAGAGGACCTTAGGAATGAATTCCAGTGTCGTGGGCACTGGGAAACTGGGAGATACTGCGCATAGTGAGCACTTGGGGAGAGAGGCGGAGATCCGAACCCAACGTTCTGGGTTGTTTGCTCTCTGCCATGCCATGCACCCTGCGTGGGCGAATAGAAATGTGCCCTTCCTCGCTCCCCACCCCTCAACTCTATGTATGACCAAGACATGCATCAATGGGAGCAAAACTACTTGTCCATCCGGTGTGGTCTCTGATGCAATGCATGCTTTCTGCTCCATACGTGTATCCCTCTGGGCGGCTCTTGCCTTAACGACCCAAATTCCCTTCCAACGGGAGCCGGATCCGATCTCGCCTCCTCAAGCACAACACAGCCGACTTGCATAGCATCCAAGGCAGCCCTCCGGTACCGCCGCACTCTCGAAATTTGAAGCGTGAAATGGAAGTTTGAAGTGTGAGAGGAAATGAGCACACCTCCTCCGCTAGAAATACTTGACATCAAGGAACCTCCAAGTCGAGTCGTCCCTTCCGTGGTATGTATTTCCAACTGACGGTGAAGGTGCTCTTGGGGGCGGAAACCAGCTTCATTCAACTGGGCTTGGGGAATGGGTGTGGGGTACCAGGGAAAAGGAACACACCCCTAGTGAGAGCATGTCCGGCACAAAACAAGCAGTGGTTGAGCTTGTTTGCTCTGTCATTCCCTTCTCCTTTCGTGGGTGTCCTGGCCCCAGGCCTCTTTCCGACGCGGCGAGAATTAGGTACGAAGTACACTGTGCAAAGGACTCGAGCAAAAAGATCCATCGAAGGGCTGCGGCGCATGCATCCGATAGCCAGCAGCGATTGATTAATGCTTTCACGTGTACTTGGATCCATAGCCGTACACTACACTAGATACTTCGTACTTGCCCGTCAGCGACCCATGACTTCTGTGACAACCCTGGACGGCGTTGATCCAGTCAACCATCACGCTTCGCGGCTTACCCTGGCCCCGGTTCCCCAATTCGTCCCTCGCTTATAGGTTCTCGTATCGTTACACATCAAGTCTAGCAGTGTGCCATAGCCCATCATGTACTGGTACCGTGTTCCCGCAAACGCACCGCTTGGTGTTCGAGGCCCTCTTCGTGCAAGGATGAGAACAAGAAAACGAGACGATGAGGCCTGGGGTTCCGGGGCTAGGAGCGCGCTAACTCAGACTTGCTGTCTTATCCTAGCACCTGGTCCTTGGCTGCTCCCAAGGCTCCCTACCCTTGGTGAGGAAGAGGAAGGGGGCAGGACGAAAGAAAAGGAGACGAAGAAAAAGCACGGTGAGTATTATTGTCAGTCACGACCGACCTGGGTTGGATGCCCTCACAAGGCACTGGATGCAAGGACCAACGCGGCCAAGGAAGAAAGAGCCGGCCTCGAGAGCCCAGACTGCTGTTCATCTTGAGACCATGTTGTCCCCCGCCGAGTCTTTATCACCAGGGCAATTTGTTTCCGGAATTCAAGAAAGCTACAACGAGTCAGGGTACTTGAGGACGCTGTTCCGTATTTGGTGCTGATCGACACAGGTGCTCTGGCGCTGTTCATCTTTTTCAGAGGGGAGGGGCTTGAGGGGAGCGTCGGGGAAGTGAAGTACTCCGTACCGAGGGCTTGTCTCGCCCAAACTGCCAGTCACGCCCCGTGCTCCTCCCCCATCTTTATCGCTGGCGCCGTCTCCACTAGGCTTTTGCTTTCTCCACGCACGACACAACATCAACTCCTCACTTGAGTACCTGTGGGTTCATGTGTGTCGAGTGTGCGCCTCTGGGCCCACGACAAACACTCGACTTTTTGGGGTTCTTTTCTTTCTCTTTCTTTCCTTCCTTCCGTTTCCTCGCCCCATCAATTCGTTCTCGACCAATCTTCAAAGACAATTGACCACGTTGACCTGTCTCGAATGATATTTATCAATCTTTTCCCTCCGGAAAAGGGCGCCCCTTTAGCATTTTGTGTCGGCCAGCCGTTCCCAAAGTACCCGTAGAACCCAGGGACCAGAGCCCTGGGAAAATTTTGACCCGACAGTTGGGACCTTTTTCCTTTTGCTTTCTCGTTTTGCCCTCTCTTCGTTTCCCACACCCCCTCCATTCCAGGGAGCGAGCACCTTACCAATCATCCGTTCCCGCTTACCCACACCACCCACTAGACCCGACGCCATCCTTGGTACTCTCCATCCTTGTTGGGTAGGGGAGGAGGGCCTGCCACGGGCGCTCCTCACCATTGAATTTCTACAGGTACTCTTTCCGCATGAGCGCATTAGCGTGACCCTCTACTAGGCTACAGGGGCCCTCACCCTTCTCCGCCTGGCTGAGCACAACTTTCCCACTCCCGAGGCGAGGGCTCACGTTTCTTTAAGACTACCCCCATCGCCCTCGCTTGGAACCACCTCGAATGAATGCACCTCTCCCTCCCACTTGTATTTGATACGCCTCCACATGAATTGGAGATCCCTCCCTCCAACATACCGAAAAGAAGCTTCAACAGACTCTCTCCCTCGATAAGAAAGAAGGATACAACGAAACACCACTCGTGTTACCCGGGACGAAAGAAACTCTTCAACAAGAATATAGGACCAGACGAACGAGCAATCTCACTCGTTCTCTATGACGACAAATTCAGACGGATAGACATTTGATCGGCCATTTTGCCTCACATGGTGGAACGGTCTAAATCGAAGTTGAACGACAAGCAGTGCCCGGATCAGGATGGTCGTCGTGGACACGCGGAATCACTAACGTCCAAAGCACTTCCCCTCAACCGACAGTGTCATGGAGAGGGCAGAATCACGGCCAAACACGACACAGCCCCACAACTAAGGGCATTGACGGAGACACCAACGTCGACGACTCCGAGGTCCGAAGCCACACCGGATGCGATGTCTCCCAAGGCAAGTTCTCCGCCTTCCACCGACGAACCCCCTTCGGCTTCGAGTAGTCGAGGGGGTTCAGCGTCGGCGCACGCCGACGTGACGCCCATACCCGCATCGCCCTCGAGTCCTCCGAGAAAGCGGCAGCGCATTTTCGAGGACGCCAGCAACTGCCTACCTGGCCAACAGAAATCCCCCATAGAGCGTGGATTGGCCCTAATTGAGTCGCTCCGGGAAGGGGGCCGCACCCGTAACCGTGGATCAGATTCGTCCTCAAGGTCCTCGTCCGTATCGCCTCTGGATATCGCGGACGACGATGACGGGCTATTCGGCGAGACACCGCTCGACGAGCCGGGAAAGAGTGACTCATCATCTCTCCCCTCTGTAGCGAAACAAAAGGAGATTGATTCCGTTCTGGCCACTATCCCTCTCTTGGGCCCACCTCTTGAAGCCGACAGCGATCCCGAGGACCCTGCTCAGAGCGAAGGGGACGAAGATGAAGGGTTTTCTGAGGACACGAACAGCGTACAAGCCCAGATTATGCGGGCTCGGGAAGGTCTCATGAGGAGACGAGTATTACAGTCCTGCTGCACCGCATCGCCCACCGAAGCTCCTCCGATAAGAGTGATGCACAAACCCATCCGCGTGCGACGGAGAGTCAAACAGAGCTCTCTTCCCCCTTCGTCATCCTAATTCCCAACTCTAAAACATCTTCAGACACAACTAAACTTGTCCGGCACTCCTCCCTATCCAGACAACCGCATCTCCCACTCACCATTTGATCTAAACAACATCCTCCATCTCAGCCGCCCTCGCCCTCGCTTGACCACCGCCCCCTTGGTGCATGGTTCGGCCACACTTTTACGCGCTCTCCTCCTCTAAGCAATACGCTTCCTTCGAATATCAAACTGTCTTACTATCACCTACACATCGAGGACTAGTTTCAATTGCTTTCTGCTACCATTTCCCCTTTCGCCTCACTCTCCAGGAACACAGGGTTTATATCATAGTTGTTGGTTTCCTCGAGTTCACACTCGTCCTTTGTCATTTTCCGGCGGCGTATAACGGACTTTCATCAATGGCGTTCCGGGCATCATATTCATTTTTTTAGCCTATACTTTTCGGGCTGGTCAAACATGACATGACCTTACCTGTACCTGCATCACACATCATCGCTGCGATATTGTTGAAGGAAGCATAGAAGGCGAGAAGATACCCCATTCGCAATTCTTTTTTGTTTTTTTCTCGATCAACCATGTCTAGTTCTTCTAGGAGGTTTAGGTTCTCTGGTTCCAACAAGCACGGTGCTCCAAGGGCTACCACCATTGCACTACTACCTGATAGAGATTTTTAAATTGGACCCGGCATCACAAGGATCCTTTTCTCAACCACATTGACATATATCGGAGTCTTGTCTTGTTCTGTTCAACGCGTGCCTTGCTCATCATTTCCCCGTCGGGAGATGCTTCCTTCCAAAAGGTGTCTCCATGTCAATCAATCGACCGAGTTCCGGCTAGGGCTTTTGAGATGAAGTGGAGAACTGGGAGGTGGACAAGCCTCTACTCATGTACATATTGGTCCCTCCCGTATCAAAGCATTCTAATGGTCTATTGTCATCGGATCTTTCCGCATCGCGTGCTGTTATTTGCGTCTAAACCCGTGATTGTTTTGTCATCCTGTTCCGAGTCCCTCCTAAATTATTGTCGTTGCTGCCCATATTCGTCTACCCTTGAGGAGCCCTCCCAAACGGCAGCAACATATCCGTCCATGGCGTCAATGATGGCATAGGTGCCAGGGAAAAGCACCCAGGGGGACGAAAAAAACCGGGTACCGGGGACACGTCGCCGCCGATCACTCTTGTGGCTGATCAGCTCAGGGTAGATCCCACGAAAGCGCAACACACCGAAATAGTAGCCATTGGCGTCTTGCGAAAGATGCGTCGCCGAGGCCTGCAACTTAAACTTGCCAAGCACTTCCACTCCACCCACGACAACCATAGATGTCCCGAGGTCGATATCATTGATATAGTATTCACTCTTACAAGAACAAGGGGCCTTTTCCCACCATTACACTTTTTAAGGTTCAACGGGGTCTTGGACGATGAACAATTGCATGCGTGGCTTGATGTCCTTCCCACAATGCCCAAATGCTTAACTAAAATGGATGCTAGCACAGGAGCAGCCCAATCCGAACGATTGGGTCATCAGACTCGATATTTGAACTTGGCAAGGACGAGAACAAAACGAAAAGGCTTCAGGTCGAGCATTGATCTCTCAGCGTACCATGGACTCAAATATGGGGCCAAAGGGTCTAGGTAATACATGCACGTACACAAATCAATGTATGTTCAAGAAACCAATGTTGTAGAGAGAAAAAGCCCAAGCAACGAACAAAGGCTCGCTCTATTTGACATTTACAGTATCCAAAAGCTTTTTTTTCTCACTTACACTGATCGTGTCATCAATCAATTGCCATTGTTTGGAAAGGAAAACGAGGGCCAAAGGGAAACTCGAAGCCTCGCCGCCCTCGACGATACTAGATCGGAAGGAACTCGACCTTAATTACCCCTTATCCGCACCAAATGACGAATAAATATCCGAGATCTGAGTCCTCCAAGGTACAATGTTATCAAGGAGGGCCCTTACACTTACACAACTGGAGGGGAGCGGGTCAATAGACAGCGAAACCCGGGTTGGCTGCCCCCATTGTGACGACACTCGAGATACTTCGTATCATGGGGTGCACGTGGATAAAAGGGATCGACGCTAGGATGTGCGTTGAAAAACGAAACAAACAAGAGGAGGGGCCAATACTGTGTCCAAGGGCAACACAAATCGGAACAACCTGTCTCGTAGTTGTCCATGGACATTGTTCAGATGTCAGTTGCTGAGGACGGACCTCCCTGGTGCCCATTCTTCCCTTGGAACAGGGGTCCAGGAGCAAAGGGATGAAAATCGAGTCAGAACAAAATGAGTGATGGATAACGTCTCTATTTTTATCTACGGGGGGACGTAGGCGTGGAGGGATATAGTGTAGGGCTAGCCAAGAGCAGAGGGTAGAAACGGAATGCGGTGCCGAGAACTCTTACATCCATGGGTGCATTGTCTCCGGGTGTCGCTTTTTCAGACTGGAAAGCGTGAGCATTTTCGTTGATCTCTTGGTCGTTCCATGTCAAAGCTGGTCTCCAAAGCCAACGTTGAAGCTCCTCCCTGTCCACAATGCGAGGGAGGGCTCGGAATGTACGAAGTAGCTGATCCAAGGCGACACTCGCTCCCAACCACGCACACAAGAGGTTGCTGCTACCTCCGCGTACCCAATAGCTGATGCACGTCGAGTCCTGGGGGGCATGCACAGCCATCTTCTCGGATTCTTCAGCAGAGTGTGTGGACATGGAGCTGCCTCCCAAGCTCCCAAGGCGTCGACCGCAGCACAAAGCCCAGGTTTCAGATGTTCTTTTTTAGTTGCGCCTCGTGCTCTTTCTTTCTCAATGTTCCGAAAATAAGAATACAAACCCCCTTGTTTGCTCGTTTCCCGCCTCCGAGCCTCGCTTCGTACCTGCACCCCACGAACCATCGCGCTTGTTTCAGGACCTGCCAGTCAGTCCCTTGTTTATCGCCGATACCCTTGATCTTTCTTTCTTCTTCTTTCTTCTTGGAGTTTTTCCGAGTGCGAAACCCAGCAGAGAGCATCTCGTCGTTGGAATGAGGTTGTGAGGTCGCAGTAGCGCAGCCTTTCCTTTTTCTTTCCCTTTCCTTTTTCTTTCCCTTTCCTTTTGTCCGTCCAGACCATTCCATCCCAATAAGGCTCTTGGATCGTGCCCGAGCATCGTATCCCTAGTTTCCCACGTGGCTTGGCAGATGTTTCAAGAAAACCTTTGGCTGGCGTTTGTCCAAGGGCGGTGGGAGCACGGTTCAGTCAGATGCATCGCCGGAATCTCCGCGTTGGCCTTGGCCTTGCCGGCCCGCCTCCGGAGAAGAGGCTGCTACTGTGGACTGCAAGCATCGAAATTTCTTTACAAACACGGCTGTCCCCCGCCGTTCTTTCTCGATCCCAACATCGAAATCTTGATTCCTGTCTTGTTCTCTTCCATACCCAAGCACATTAAGCCTAACTCTGTTCTATATTTCGTTCGTCTTATCTCATGTCAACTTTCTTTCCTTTGCAAGCCTGTCAATAGACCACCATCATGACTTACATGGCTCCGCACACCTTCTTTCCCTCTGCGCATGTCAACAACGCAAAGGAGACGTCCTTTCTCTGCGATACAGAGACAAGATTCGCGCAAGCATTCAATGAGGTCTTCCTTGACGCTTTCAACCCCAGCACGCCTTGGTATGAGCCCGAAAGGCCGGATCTCTCTTTTGCTTCGACATCGGCATCAAGCAGTGAGCACGAGGATGCCATCTTGGAACCACTCCTCCCTCAGCCCATCGCTCCATTCGGTCTCCCCATCACGCCTTGTGCACACCCTTCCCAGTTAGCCACCGTTCCCGAGCCGGTCATAGCCACCTATCCCGATGTCAAGGCTGGAGGGTGGCTCGAGTTGCCTGTAGCCGAGGCTGGCGAACAGGGGCAAGACAACGTGGAAGATCAAGGTTTGGGGCACCTCTTTCTCGGCAATGCAATTCCCTTCCAGTTTTCCGCTCCAAAATGTAATAGCTTCGGGTTTCTTTCAGAGGCAGATACCCTCTGGTCAGACGATAGCTCCAGACAGTCATCTGTCGAGTCATTGGCGGACTCGGTCAAGGCCTCGCCCTTTTCATTGAAGAGAAAGCGGCCTACAAAGCAGACACGACGCAACCCAAGCCCTGCAGAGCGCTGTGGATTCGCCACGCCGCGATCTTCGAGAAAGCAACAAAGGTCGCGCCAGAATACATTGGACGCGGCGAGAGAATCCCAATCTGGGTCGCCATGTACTACGTTTCGGCGAATCCATAGCACATTTTCCTCGGGATTAGGCCCTGTGCAGGACCCATCCTACGATACCAACACGGCGCCAATGCCACCTCCCAGGTCGCAACGCATGTCCACGGAAAATAGCTCAGGTAGTCTCGATTTCGACGTCGAGGCCTGCACGTACAACGATTTAGCAGAGCTTCTAGTTCCATCTCCAAGACAGGGGTCCTCGGGACCTGGTGCTACACCAGCAGCAACAGATATCGTTGCAAGCGATGCCCAGTCGCCGGCGCCACATACCTCTGCGACCAAGACTGAGCTAACTAATGAACGTGCGGTCTACGGAAGAATGAGCGATCTATGGCTCGACCCGAGAACTCTTTCTCCCCGCTTTCAGACGATGCCGCCTATGATGCCGCGCTGGAGCTCACCAACGATACGGATGCCCAGCCTGGCATCCTAACGAAAGTACACACGCCACCTCTTCTTATGGAACCCTTTCTCTCAGTCCCGCCTACCCCCTCACCTTCACCACCGCCCGGCAGCACAGGCCCCAGAGACACTGCTGCGCGCTCCGTGTCCTTCTTTCCCGGGGACAAGATAGGAAAAAGAAGACGGTCATTGCTCCGTCCCGAAACCAGGCCCACGGGAGATGGCGCGGGCGTAGGATTCATCAATTTTACACCACAAGACAAGCGTGCTTTGATGCTCGGAGTGGCTCCAAGCGGGAGCTCCAAGACCAAGGCGAAAAGAGACAAGGAGGAACTGGAGAGGAGGAGAAGGCTGGGCGAGGTAGCCTTCAAGGCGGTAGAGGCAGCGGGGGAGACGCAAGCATGCTGGCGGAAGAAACCAAGGGTCTCATTGAAAATTGAGTAAAGGCCACTCACCATATTATACCTATAGACGGATCCATTAATCCACCCATATATTATACAAGTATTCTGTGCATGTAATAGACTGCCACGTTCTTCACCTTTTGCCATTCTTGTGATCCTTACTGATGTACACCTTCTTATAGTTGAGTCTTGGGCAGTTGCGGCCCATGACACGGATCTAGTGAGTGCTACTCTAAGAAAGAGGTCGATGACCGAAAACAGTAGGAGCGAGAAGCGGGCGGGTATTGGCTATTACCTCTATGTATAAAACCCTCCAATCCCACTGCCTTCCATGTATCAACACATCAACCTCACGCCTACCCTAACAAGAATAGACCGAAGCGATGACAGCAAGAGATGCCCCCTCATGAAGGTGAACCATGATGGCCTTGGCGGATCTGCTATACCTGTGAGAAGGTAGGGCCTTCCGCCATACCATGGTTGACCAAGCATAGGCAATCAATCCCTCCCATCACCCTCCAGGAATGTTTGACTTTTCCTCTTTGAGTATGCAACTCCTACACTCTCATCCCGTCATCCCGTCATCCCGTGCCACTATCAAGACATCAACAAGATATGATACGGGGCCAAGGTCTTTTTAAGCACATTTCCTAAGAAACAACGTCAGCAGGTCCACAGCTCTGGATGGGAGCGTTCTAGCGGCCGGTAAGGACGAGTTGCATAGAAGCTTGCTTCTTCAAAGCCTTAATGTTTAGCCTGGATTTTTAAAAGGAAACGCGGACACAGATTCCGTGGACTGTTCACTTCAACCACTCAACACAGAGGTATGTGCCAATCTTTCCGTGCACGGATGAGAAGCAGAGAGCTGTTCAACGACGGCTCGAACGAAAGGGCATAAACTGAGCAGGACCGGTCTGGTTCTCTAGGTGTGTAAATACGCGAATATAACCACTCTCTTGTTCTTCTTCTTCTTGTGGCATTATATATCCTTTCCGTGTGGACTGGAGCTGTCAAGGTAAAGAGGCAAACGTGCGCACCACAAACAGTCGAACCTTGCGGAGTGCTAACGGACTCGTCAGGCGTCCATCAACATGGCTTCTGCTACGAAAGAGTTTTTCGGCCATTGAATGCGGTGATTCCTACTCTGCGTATAAATACAGACCTATGCAATTCTCGACAGGTTCCTTTCGAGCAAATAAACTCTGCACCAGTGACGAAAAGAGAACTGGCGTTTCCAGAGTTTGGTTATGGCTACCAGAGATCAAAGAAGCCTTTGCCAGCGATGACTGGCGAAGGACGATGGCATCGACCAACAGCGCCGATAACTCGGAGAGTATGTCTGAGAGAGCTTCTCTAGGGAACGGCTTCTCAACCGACCCTGAGATGCAAACGCCCGAATCTATCTACGAAGCGGACAAGATGCTTGTCGGTTTCTCTCACTGCGATAATAAGGACGGCGGTCACCCCTTATTGATGTAATGTCGAGTTCCATGGACCCCAGCGCCACTCCTAGCCCTTCTCCAGTCGAAAGGCGACCTGCCCTGGCCAGGCTGGTCAGCCACGGCTATTCTAGCTCGGGCCGACTTAGTGGGCATACCGACTTCTCTCCTCATGACAAATTTGACGTCTTTGAGTTACTACCAGTCGCGTTGGATTCCAAGGAGACGCTGTCTGTCAAAATCACAATTATAGGGCCGAGTCCTGTGCTTGCGAAGCGTTCCCCTTGTAGAAATCGGGACGCCGATGGGAGCAAGCAACAGAGTCTGCTATCCGATTGAAGAGGTCGACGAATCACAGTTACTAGAGCATCAGTCATCTTCTGTCCAGCCTATGCCGAAGAGGCAGGGAACGCCAGCGGACGCTCCCCAACCTCAGTTACAGCCATCTCAGGGCGACACGCTCAGCGAGGCAGAGCGTTTTATGGGGCTTTTGGGAAGCTCCGCAAGTCGGCTGAAGACAAGTGTGAAAAGCTCATAAATGAGTGGAAGGACCCTGTTACGGGCTGCTCTGAGCCGTCTACGTCGTGGAGTGCCGAAGCAGTGGCGGACTGGACACGCCGACTCGGCGAATATAGGGCCTTGATATACCAAAGGTACGCTCCACACAAGAATCAGGCCCTCGAGATGAAGGGGAGCATCCAGCGGAAATGCACTACTAGGATAGTGAGCCAAGATGCAAAATTCACCAAGCCACGGGAAGCAGTGGACTCGGGCATCGACATGGATATTCCCAGCAAAGAGCGCTCGCTCAACCCCATGGCAAAGGAATTCCAGCCCCCACAAAAGCCTTTAAGCTCGCCGGTCGAACTCAAGTCGGGCATGCCTACAATTCAACAACTCGCGCCCCCAAAACTTGATCCGCCCATGGGCCCCGCGCAGTTTCTAGTTCAAAAGGCACGCAGCCCACAGTCTTACCTTGTCCTTCGGTCTCGCTTCCACTGCCCCTCCGGCGCCCGTTAGGCCTGGGTATAGCATCACCAGCCCAACGCATGCGAGCCTGGCGGGCCTTCTCTCGCAAATGTGCGGTTCTCTACCATCCCTGCCCTTTGGTACACTGTGCTCCTCCTCATCCCTGCCACCCATGCGGCCCAGCGCCCCAGCCATTGATAAGGCGGGCTCGAGTCTCGCTGAAGGGCGTGGTTTGAGCTACTCTGGCACACCGCATTGCTGCCATCACGCAAGTTTGGGTTGTCCTTGGGTTCGGTGTGCCGATCCTCGACCAAGCCCCCAAATGATCCCTATTAGTCAAGCAGCTTTGGCCGCACCGGCGCCTCTGATCTCGTCAGCCGGGCCAGTGGCGAGGAATATTCCCCATATCCTCCCTCCGGCCTTGTCACAAGTCCCACCTGGGCCTGTACCGAAACCCCGGTTTCCGAATGCCCGTGCTCAACAGGCTTATGAAGAGTGGATTGAATGGAGGAAGGCAAACGAGCCAGGCTACGCATTAGAGTGCAAGGCACGACAGGCAAGAAGAAGCCATCGAGGAAGAGGGGCCTCAAAAGCGACCGTCAGCAACGCGTGATGGCATTTAGGGCTCGACTCAGCCCCTATGAGTAGGAAAGGTGTTTGGCTAGGGGAACTGCCAGAGAGGTTTTCGGTATCCGACCTGAGCGAGAAGCCGTTTCCTAATGGTGGGATGGCAACTATTTCTTATCAGGCTATCCGAGCTTCCTTTTACTAAAAGTACGAATCCCCCTCCTCCACCCCCTTTTATTGCTACGAGAGTTTATGGGATGGGTAGAGTGTTGAAGGGAATATTTCTTGATGAACTGGAACTGTTGGCTCATGTCAAGTGACTACAGTAACGGAGAGTGTCATGGATAGACGGGACGTTTTGGATCATTCTTACGAGAAGCGTCAATCACTACATGAGGGAGATTGCTCTGGAGTAAGGTGTCAATTGTTACGGTGATGAGAAGATGGTTTTATCGAGGGGGCGTATACACGGAGGACGGTGCCATTCCATTTCTATCAGCCTCCATGATATTTCCTTCTGGCGAGGAAATGCTGGAGAAGGGAACCCGGGAAAACTGTTAGTTTATCAATAGAAAAAAACCTTTTGAACTACCCTCAAAACCCTGTCCTTTCACTCGAGTTGGATACCCTCTGCCTAGAGCTTACACAGTTGTCGAAGTGGTGATCCCGAAGGTCGGTTGATATTCGGCAGAACAAGCTCTTGAAGAACAAACGATTGAAGCAGGAGCTTACATGTAACTAACCCCACAACCTCTGAAGCTTCCGAGCATTTGAAGTGAGTTTCAACCTCGTCAACGCCAGTTATCTTCTGGGCGCCCTTCTGACTTAGCAACGTGAATCCCTCTTTGGCGGTCCAACGACAGAATAAACATAATTTTTTCCCAACCTTATAGTGAGTCGATTTCCCACTTCCAAAGTCGCTTTGGACATCTTGTGTTGACCAATTGGGCTTTCAGCCAACGTTAATTAGCATCGAACTTTGCGACCCGTCCCCTCCATATCCACCACCGAGTGTTGGTCTCGACAGGAGCCTACATCCAACCTAGCGGGATCGCGTGCATCGCCTCTTGAACTGAGCCATTGAAATCTGTGTTACATCCCACACCCGTCCGACATACACCCCACGCGCACATTCTACGGATCGTTTCTCGCACCGCGGCCCTCGCAGGGCACGGCTACCATGGCTACACCTACGCCCGGCAAGACCGCCGCGTCGCAGCAAGGACGAACCCCACAGGTCGCCGCCTCGCCGCCCGTCTCGACCCCGTTTTCGCTCTCCGGAGTGCAGGGCGTCTTCTCGCCGCGGGGACCAAGGTCGTCGCCGCAACAGGTGAAGAGGTCGCCCGCGACGACGGCGACGCTCGCCGGCCACCCCTCCACGGGGCCGCTCAACTTTGACAGCCCGTCGGCTGCGGCGGCCATGGGGTCGCTCGGCATGGGGAACGCGTTAGATATAGGCCTGGACAATGTCGGCGTGGGGGCTCGCTGGGTTGCACGGGTTAGGCGTCCTCGGGGGCGAGGATGAGCGTTTAAAGAGGCTCGATGCCGTGATAGGCACTTTATCGGTCAGTTTTCTTTTTGCGAACCTCAATTATGGTCTTTTTCTGACTTGTCCTTGCAGCACAAAAAGGCTACGTGAGCGAAGAGGGTCTTGAGCGACTAGTACAGCGAATAGGCCTCGATTGTATCTGGGACACGCAGACGGATTCTAGTGGACAAAAGATGAAGCTGCTTGTCGTGGCTGGCAAGGCCCTCCAGCTCGACATCACTATAGACAACAACATGGTTCGAGGCGTGGCCCTGTCGTTTCCCTTATCCTCCCCAATCGTGATAGAGCGCGTCGGGCGGGCGACTGCCATTCTCATGAGAGACCTCGAACTCCGGCCAGGGCAGAGCCCGCTGACCAAAAGGCTCGACGAGTTCTACTCGAACCTATCGCGGCTCGCGGAGCTGGACAAGCTCAGCGTGATACCAGGCCTTGATCTGCAAGAAGCCCTGGCGGGCATGTGCTCGAGCTTGGAGCGGATTCATCATTACGATCTGGAAAAACTGCGCGCGGAGTACGCCGGCAAGGGTGAAAAGTACGTTCACAACATGGTTACCTGCCATCGACACGGCTACCCCGTGATGCACGCGAGGAATCGCGTCGGCCTTAACCTAGACTATTGGATACAGCGCCACTGCGTCCCTCCCAAGGACCCCTTGGCCCAAAAGTTTGCCGAAGAGAAGGAGGGTGTCTGGTCCCTCCTCATTGGGTGCGCGCCCATGGGGGAAATAATGTATCCACCCGTGCGGATATCGGGAAGCTGGATATCTCCTAAAATCGAAAAGGAAGACCCTACGCCAGAGGATGTCTTGAGTGCCACGACGGGGCCGGCCCTTGACTGGCTAGAGCCGGAAAACGCCGTCATACCACCGCCTGAGGAGATCAAGGACGCTTCGGTCGACATGACGCTCAAGTATGCCGAGGTCATCTTCAAGGCGCTTCTGGAACCGACAATCATCTTGCCGCAGCCCGCGTGGCTTCAGATGTACGAGCTTGTAGGCGCCCAGCCACCGCCTCTCTACACCTACCCCACGTTTGATAGCCTCTACTTCCCTATCCCGGCCACGACTGAAGTTCACGATCCTAGTGCGCCGAGAACTATCGAGCACCGACGGGAGGTACAGTGCATCTCGAAGGAGGGCGATAGGAGCACAAAGACACACAAGAATACGCTCTACATTTACAAGCCGGTCTATGGTCAAACGCTGTCGGAGCTGCCCTTTTCGCACCCGAAGCAGCTCATCTCGCTACTGCCAAACCTCAGACAGTATGCCCTTCTCTCCACCCTGCTGCGGCGAAGCTTTGGCGACAGCAGGACCGCCGGGGAGGCAGGAAAACGACGCCCGAGGAGCCCGCAAGCCCCCAGGTGTCTACGCGAACGGTACCCAAGAAACAAGAGCTGGAGGCGTTCTCGTCTGGCGCCGATGTGATGCAAGGGCTGGAACACGACCCGTCGGGAGGGGCCGGGGAACCTGGTAGCATCGACTCCATCGACGTGACACTGACGGTCCACCCCGCCCCCGCCTCCAGGTCGTGTTTCCCCTACGATCTACGACGGCCAGCGCGACACTCGAGATTGGGCCGAACGGCAAGGTGCGGGTGATTTCGCAAAACATCGTCCCGGACGAGAGCGCGAAAGCAGAAGGGGGCCCTAAGACGATATCTGCGGAGAGCCTAGGCCGGGCGCTGGAGATATTGGAAGACATCGACCAGTGGTGCGAGTGGGTGCGGACCCGCGTGGACAGTAGCTAGTGGATCGAATCACGACAAAATGACTATCAGGAAGGGCCGCAGGCAGTGATTTCCCCTCACTTTGCCCCGGCCTCCTTACCCCATTGTCCTCCTTCATCGCCTTCGTGCCTTTTTACTTTCCAGGTCTATCTTGGCTGCGTCAATCCTGCCCGTCAGGTGTCCTTTATGATGTCTGGTCGCTTTGACAACAACGTCACTGTCATGATTCAGGTCGTAGGCAATATGTCCTGGGCAAGAGCGCAATCCAGAAGTATGGTGCGAGACTGAGCTGTGTCATAATGAGGGGATAGTCTCAGACGGTGTCTTTGGCCTTACACTCAGACCTGAACCCTCTCAGGCTTCCCCGCGGGCTCCGCATTCTCCTCCTACCCCTTCTTGTCCACCCGGTTTTGGTCTTCAACTTTGACCGTGATCCCCGCCGGTCAGTTTTGGCTTCTCTTTTTCCCCCCCCTTCCGACCGAATCGAGACGAGAGATTACGAAAAGAAAAACAACAAACAAAATAAAATTGAGGACCATGGGATAATAAGTTTGAGATTATTCCGCCGGTTCGGCCTCATGACGTGGACGGGCCGACGGAGAGGGGCACCCGCCGAGAGGGCACTTGGGGCGCGTGTGCATCATCTGCGTAGAGAAGATGACTGGAGGACTATTATTCCGTTTATACCGAGGTAGATGGAAAATGTATAGTATAGCAGTGTAACCGGGCCAAGAGTCCCCAAGCGATAGCGATAGCGAGACAGAAAGGTTAAAAAAACAGAGACTAAGGAAGGGAGGGAAAAAGGAAAGCACTCTTCCACATGGGCGGGCGTTCTCTCCATTGTCTCCTCCATACAACTATTTTTCCATCTCGATTCCATGGCTCGATTGGTGAAGAAAAAGAACCATTTTGGAGTGATAGTCCGCCGTATTATTACGCCGAGGGCGGGGAAAAATGGGCGCTGAGACAATAACAAGACGGAATAGGGAGGAGGCATAGGCGAAATGGCGCGCCGTCTCTCTTGCTCTTTCCCCTTCATGTACTTTTATTTATTTCATTTTATTCTTTCATTTTCTCCAGGTCATTCTTTCAACCAGCGGCGCCGGACATGCCGAGCTAGAATGAACGTGGAAAATCTGGGGGAGGAGGGGGGACCTGTCATCCTGGCTTGGGTCTAGGAATGAAGCTCATCGTTTGGGACGGCCGCCATTCACCAGTTTAGCCCGCTGTTTGTGATTTAGATTTTGGCTGGCCCTGCGCGCGCGTTCAACTGCCTTGCTTGAGCTTAGGATGAGTGGCTAATGATGCCCTTGATTACGGGTACAACCGACTTTGAACTCAAGTCTGTTTTGTTTACTATCTGTATAGCTTTCGTCTTTTGGATAGACCAAGATTAGAGGATGGAAGGAAGGATGAAGATCCGATAACAGCCGAGAGAGCGGCGGGTGAGGTCGCCGGTGTCTTGCTCGGGGGAGGGACATGTGGCCGTAGACTCCTCGGCTGAGATGCTTGAATCATGGAACTAGACAATATCGGCTCGACAAGGCTCAGCGCGGAAAAGAAAAAAAAAAAAAGGAAAAAAAGGACATGAGGCTTTGCAAGAAAGGTTTCCGGCTGGATCCCGGCTGACCAACACAAGCGAGGGATTACGTGCAACGGGTTCTACGGGTTCTATATATAAGACAATGGGGGAGAAGGAGCTCGAGCTTGTGCATGCGTCCCGAGCGCGCATGCGAGAGGGCGGTGCGAAGGCGAAGTTTTCGCCTCGGGAGAGAAGTAGTCGGAGGAGAGATCTGCCTGTGCCTTGTGCGATGTCACGGATCTTGCATTGTGAGATGGTTGTACGGTACCTTGCAGCGGGAGGATCACCCCGAAGGAAGGGCTTAGAATAGCAAACATGAACGTCACTGTTCTTTTCTTTGGGCTGCGCAAGAGAAACATGCGCGGGGTGAAACAGCCAGAAAAGCTGGCAGTGCGAAAGGCCGGCTGGATGTCATCCTTCCGCCCTGTTCTTGTTCTTTTCATCCCATGTTACGATGTAGTTGGTGTACGAACTAATACCTAATACTTTGTACAGATGCCAGCGCAAGTCGCAAGTCGCAAATCGCAGAGGCAATGGGCGGTGCGCGCGCCAGCGACTGATCCGCAGAGGGGAGAGAAGGTTAATGCGATTAGTGCATCCTCCAGTCCTTGCCGTGGTGCCGTCCGGCGTTCCCGCGACTTGTCAGCGGGTACCCAAAACGGCCAGCGGGCCCACAAAGGGAAATCTCGCGTTCTCTTGTTTTGGGCAGCATCGACAGGGGGAAGGAGGAAGGACTTCGAGGGCAAGGAACAGGGATGACACTGGTACGAAGCAGTTTAGTGGGTGCATGAAGGAGGGCGTCCGGAGCCCACTCGACGGGAGATGGGATTTTGATGGCTGGTGGGATTAGCGAGGCCGAGGGGATGGGGCCTGGAGAAGGGAAGCATGAATAAGTAATAAGCAAGTAATCTTGCAAGACGAAGAATGATATTGGGTTCTCCATACTCGTTCCCGATGATCTAATGAGGCTAGTGGGTACATTGACTTGTAGATGAGAAAGGTCGAGGGGAGGAGAAAGCAAGAAGAAGATGACGCGGGGAGTGAAGGAGAGCACAGCACTAGGGCGCGAGTTGAGGAGAGAAAGTGCCCGCATTGTGTGGGGGTTGGGAGCTGTTAACACATCATGACGGCAAAAGAGAAAGGGGGCGAAGACAAGGAAATAGAAAAAAGAAAAAAAAAGAAAAGAAAAAAGGAAAAAGAAAACGAAGAAAAGAAAAATCAACGTTTGTTTGTTTTGATTCTTGACGCGCCGAAAAACCTTTGGGCCCCTCTTGCCCCACCACAAGTACCTTCTATGGGCTGATCTCAGGCGAAGCTACTTGTATTACTAGCTGAGCGGGCTTCCGCGCCGGGAACGGGCTGGGGTATTAATCTCCCTCCTCTATGAAGAAAGCAGAATGAAGAAAGCAAAGGGGGAAATCAAAAAAGAAGGGAAACTTTGGGGAGGAAAATCGACTAAAACGGATGCTCTTCCTTGTCGGCGTTGCACAGAAGGGGCAAATGCTGGACCGACCTCCCGTTGCACGACCTCGGCCTGCTTCAGACCGAAGGCAGAGGACGCGAGCGTGTCTGTAGGCAAAGCAAACACGGCCACCCTGATGCACTCCCCGCGCGCAGCGCGCATATGTCCCACCCTTTAGCTTGCGTTTACTGATGGGGCGAGTGGCGGGCTCCTCTGCAGCTCTGGTACGTTCTCCTGTGGCGGCGGCTGGGCTGGCCCTTCGGTCTATCACTTTCCCCAAAGAACCTGAGGCTCTGCAGGTCCGAGTATCTCCCGATGCCCGATCTTGCTGGACTTTGATAGTTTTGATAGTGGACACCCGGACACTTCGATCACGAGGTATCCCTCCAAACCCTTGTTGCTCGTTCAGGTATCACGAAGTACTTGCAGAGGGAGGGAAAAAGGACCCGAAAGGTCTATCGCGGATGGTGCCAAGCGCTCCCCCAGGCGGATTTTTGGCGTTTTGAGGGCAGGACCCTGGGAAGAACAACTAGGATCAAGGAGACCAGTACCTGAGGATCCCTGTAAAAATCCCGTTGAATGGGCACAGGATCACCCCTAAACCGTGTCATTGGGAAAAATGGCAAGGAAGGGCACACCAAGGGTTGGACAGACCTGAGGAATGGTGCTTTGGCATTATTCCCGGCCTCGATTCTCCTCGACTCCATCGTGCAGCAGATGGGGAGCTCCTCCTATGTAGTATGCAGGAGCTTTTGAGCGGTGTGTATGAGCCTAGTGATTGAACGAATGATAAGAGATGGTGCCTCGGAGAACTCTTGCATGACCCGCTCAAGGTTTTGACAAGCGCAGCGATCCTGGGTTGGGGTCGACCGTCAAAGAACTGGCGGGGAGGCGAAGGGAGGAGATGGGTTGACACCTGTGACTGGCAGCATCCCAGCCTTGACTTGAGCTGGAGGGCGAGAAAGACATGATCCTTTTGGTCTCATCGTGTTACTTTCAGCATGCCTGTAAGTTGTATCACATGGATGTAAATATGGTCAGGGACCAAGACCCCTCTTGCCCTCCCACCGCCGTCTTGCCCCCGAGCTTTGCCATGGAGTCAAGTTGTGGACGCAAGGTACGCTCCGCTTGGGGGCAGCTCGTCGGGGTTACGGTTGAGAGAACCCTTCAACACATCCATGCAGCCGCCATGACGGGACGAAGGCGATCTGTACGCACGCACGCAGCCCACTGAGCCTTCTACGCTTGAAAAGAGTTGGTGGTTGTGTGGGCGCTCTTTGGGACGATCCTCAAACAGTGACCGGACCTGGAACCCGGGAAAGCTGGCAAGTTACGTCGTGTACCCGAGGCCGTGTCTAGTCGCTTCGCGACATCAGACGCCCTGTCTCAGACGGCATCACTCTTGAGACACTCTAGTAATATCATCAACCTATGTAGAATTTCGCCCGACAATGGGTGAAGAAGAGGGTAGGAAAAAGAAAAAGGAAACAAGGGAAGAAACGAAAAAGGAAGCAAGAGACTAACACACGGAGAAACGGGCGCGGTTGGGGGACGACGGCCTGTGCTAAACCTCACCTTTCAACTGATCCTTTGTGCCTTGTAGGCAAGTACGCCAAGCGCGGGACAAAGAGAGGATCCCAAGTCGGGCAAGTACGAAGTACCTCGTACCTCGTACCGTCTTTGCGTACCTCGCCAGCAAGTGTGGCCAGGCGCCACCAAAGGCCCCACGAAGAGTGATTCATCAGGGAAAGCACAGACCAGGACCCAAACGCGTCGACCACGCGATCATTTCCCTTTGAGTGTTGACTTTGGACCCCGGTTATAAACAATCCCACCCTGGTCGGGTCCCACTTTCCTCACTGTAACCCCTTTGGCAGCAGAACACTTCCATCCCTTCCACCAAGAGAAGGAGAAGGAAAGAAAAATAGGGTCAACGTTGATGTGTACTTCTTTGTATCTGCAAGCTCGTTACGCGTGTTTCTGGCCCACTATCCCTGAGTGCCCGCCCCAACCACAAGTATCCTCCAAGACACCCTGCACACAAAGAGTGGATTCTAAGCCCTTTCCCCCTTTGGAAGTATCTCTCTCATCCCTACTTCCCTTCGCGCTGCAAGTTGTTAATCTTAGCTTCCCTCTTTATCACACTTGACGAACACATCTTCACTCTCTTTTCCCTTTTCTCTTTATTTTCTTTTTCTTTTTCAGCGTCGCCACAACGTCAACCCATTCGAGGACTCTGGTTCCTTGGGTGAACCAGCTTCTTCTGCTTCGATCGTCCTCTACCCGCCTTTCCGAACCGCGTTCGATCATCTGCGCACAAAAAGAATCGCCACCCATCTTTGTGGCATGTGTTGACGAGAGTGACGCGCTGGAACGGTCACTTGTTGGAGTAAAGAGGAGATAACTAGAGAATCTTTGGTTCTTCCTGTTTTGGGCACGCTATCCAACTATGCGTTGAGAGACCGCCTAGGCATCACCTTTTCTTCGCCTGGCCCTTCTTTTTTTTTTTTCTTGGACACAGTCGCGTCTGGTTTTTATCCTGCTGCCTTGTCTCGCCTCTTCCGGGCATGTCGCCACACATATTGGACGAACAGTCGACCTAAGAACAGGCCAGCTCGCTGGCCTTTTCTTCCTTGAGGGAGCACTTCTTGTTTTCTTTTGGCTTTTCTCATCGGACACTACTGAGATCCAGTGCGACCCCGTCTTGACGCTGGCTGTAAATCGCTTCATCCCAGTTGAAGCTGCCTTCTCTCTCAAGTTCGTGGCAAACCCGCTCACCCGCTCTATTCATATTCTTTTGCTGACATATCACCTGCCAGTTGATGAGCTTACCTCGCTGATATATTGCCCAGCCGCGCCTTCCCTTTGTTCGCGGCAACACACACACACACACACACACACACTCGTGCCCACACAATTGAGCCAACGGGCAAACGATTACGCAGTACCCTAGCACCTGCCTGAAAACGGCCAGTGCAGAGGTGTTTTGAGCACCCTCATCATCAATCAGTTTAGAAAGCAATTTGGGGACAGAAAGGGACACACGGTCTCTTTTTAGACGGGAGAATCATGTCGTATACAAACGGTGGAGGCACGCTGACCTTGCCCTCCCCAACTCATGGGCATCATGTGGATGTTGGCTCTGCCGTGAGGAGTCTAAGGCGGTCCATATCCCGCTCACCTTCCAAATTTAACTTGGCTGCACGAACGCCCAATAGTACCGAGAGCCCTACTTCGAGCTCACCGAGTCCGCAGTCGCCCTGTCGGCGGTACTCGCCCGCTTTAACTGCGCGCAAGAGTTACTTGCAACTAACTCCCAAAGAAAAGTCGACGCCCCGTCACGAAACGACGACAGCGATGCCGACAGGAACGACAACGCCTTCCCACTGCCCTCCGCAGCCCTCGAGCACCTTTAAACCGAGTGTTAAACTTTCTCTCCGTTCCGCTCGATTTTCCAAACCGTCTCAGGTCGGCTCTACGACCCCATCGGGTCCCTTGCCGAGGACGCGAGCATCTCCCCGGTCCCCTCTAAAGAGGGCGCTGAGCATTTCCTCCGACTCGGCCAATTCCGCTCCTTCCTCATCTTCAAGTAGTGACACTCCGGGTCAAGAGAACTCGCGCTTGCCTAATCCCGCAAGCCCATTGTCTCGCCGTTGCCTAAACAAACCGTCGCGTCACAGTTTGCACCTGGATGTCTCTGGCGCATCCCATTCTATTTTCCGCTCCCTCGACACCACCACAATGGCAGCGCCAGAATTCTCGAGCCCCGCCGCTGGCACACTTAAGCGAAGCGACGCAGCTATGGATCTCGAAACTGGCAGCCTTGCCAGTCCGGTAGCTAAGCGACGCAGCTTGCACGGCATTGCTAGTTTTAGCAGCATGGCGCACGACAATGTTTTTGACCAGGCCACGCCTGCAGCTTTAAACTTTGATATTCATGATGATGTTGCGCAAAATAATTACGCGCTCGCCGGCAGCACTATTCGCCGCGAAACCCAGCCCTCACCCACACCTACACCGTCCGCCGCGCGCCGGTCGTCCTCGCTCCGTAAGTCCACCCTTCAGCAGCGACACGGCGACAAGGGCTCGTGGGGAAGGCGAACGGGCGCACAGCAGCTCGCTCAAATGGGCGCCGAGATTCCCTCCCCCAGCCGCAACAGGCCAAGGTTGTCGACGGACCAGTTCGTACCTCCCCTGCGGCTCGCGATAACCCATTCCCCGGGGAAGTCTATTTTCTGGCTCGATGCAGAATCCGCCCATGACCCACTCGACGAATCCCCACCCGCTGTCGCGCTCGTTGAAGCCATCCGTATCGGGGAGCTGTTTTGTCGAAGACAGTCCCATAAGGTTCGAGCCTGCGCCCAATCAAGCCCCGACTCGTCGTCTGGACCGCTTCAAGTTCTCTCTCGGTTCCTCGACCTCGAGTATCTTCTCCAAGTCTTTGCCTCCTGCGCCTCAAGCTGCGCAGCTTACGCAGACGCCTGTTGTACCCCCTCCAGCGGCGCGGTCTAGCATGTTTATGTCTTCAGGCCTGGTGTCCAAGGTGAATCGAGACCCCGAAGAGGATAAGAGAATGGCAGTTCCCGACACGCCCTGCAAGAAGAGTAGCTCTGCTAGTTTCGCGACATACCCGCCCGCTAGCGCTGTTAGGTTCAGGCGAGGGCCGGCGACCCCCATCCCCTTTGGCTCCCCTCACGCGGACCGGCAGAGCACCCCCTTCAGTGGTACGAGCAAGGGACTCGGCCTCTTCCATAGGTTGGGAGGCCGCCCGCATCGTCGTGCGAGTGTCTTGAACCTTGATGAGGAGAACAAGTCGGCGGCTAGCAGTCGCGACGGCGCTTCCACTCCTGAGGGCTTCCCGCCTACGCCCACCAAGAGCTTCCTGACGCCTGCGGTCGCCGACGGAGGGTTGGACAGGAATCTCATCGATAGCCCTAGTGCCAACCGCAGAGCGCCACCAATCTCTGCCGTCAAGCCTGCATTCTCCCGTGAACCCTCATGTAAGTACCGCCCCTCAGTGACGGTGTTGTCGACCAACAACCCAGTAGTGCTAATGGTGCGCGCAGCGAGCCCTATCCGACCCCGTGGATCGCCAAAGACGCCCCTTGATGGCATGCTGCATCTTGACCCAAGCCGCTTCTCCATCTCAAACAATGGAAATGGGTCGGCGGAAAGATACTCGCCTGTCCCAGTCACGCCCTCCACGAGTCAAGGGGACCGCCGTATCGTGACGCCAATCCACGTGAACAAGCAGAGCCGAATCGATATTGACGGCCATCTTGTAGAGCGGTTCCATAGTGTGGAAGAGATTGGGCGCGGCGAGTTTTCGGTCGTGTACCGCGTTGCTGAGCCAAAGCGCGTCGGTGCCTCTCTTGGTCTTGATCTCGGAAGTAGCCCTCCTTTGGCTCAGACCCTCCCGTCACTCCCGCACCCGGATCCGCTTTCGCAGTCAAGAAGACGCGCCACATCTTTGCCGGCCCTCGAGATCGCGATCGGAAGATGAAGGAGGTGGAAATTCTCAAATCTCTTGTGCACGCTAAGCACGTCCTTCGATTTGTCGATAGTTGGGAGATGCAGGGCCATCTTTATATCCAGACGGAGTATTGCGACGAAGGCACACTCCAAGGCTTCCTCAACGATGTCGGCCACCGAGGCCGAATGGATGATTTCCGTCTGTGGAAGATTCTCTACGACATGCTGCTCGTATGTTTTGCCTCTTGCCTAACCCTGCCATCTATTTCCCGAGCTTGTTTCCCCCTTTTTCCTCGTTGAACAAATGCTGACACATTGACAATTTCTAGGGCCTCCAAGAAGTTCACAATGCAGATTTCATGCACTTGGATATGAAGCCAGCAAACATATTCATCACGCACGAAGGCGTCCTCAAAATTGGGGACTTCGGCCTCGCTGCGAAATGGCCAGTCACAGACTATATCGATGCCGAAGGTGACCGCGAATATATTGGACCAGAGATTCTCACTGGCCAGTATGGCAAGCCATCGGATCTATTCGCCGTTGGCCTCATGACTCTGGAGATGGCTGGGAATGTCCAGCTCCCGGACAATGGCATGTCGTGGCAGGCGCTCAGAAGTGGCCAGTATAACGATTTGCCAGTTCAGACTCCATTTGAGTTGATTGGCATGAGGGGAGATGAACCCATTCCTCGGTCCACGATGACAATTGAAGACTCAATCGCTGGCAAGGTGACCACAATCCCCGTACTTCGCCCTGACTTTGGTGTCGCCAGACACCAACCCTTGGCCGAGCCTCCCGCGTTCATGGCCCACTCGTCCCACTCGCTGTCCCTCGACTCACTGATGCGCCAATTAACGCACCCGGATCCGGACCAGCGCCCTACAGTGAACGAAGTCCTCGAGTTTGAAAGTTTCCGCTGGGTAGCGTCTCGCCGACGCTGTGCTGCCACGGTTTTCGAGGGACTCTTTGGGCCTCGCGAAGGACCTACTCAGCATGCCCAAGGCGATGTTGACACGGTTATGATGGATGCCTGAGGTTGGAGCTGGTGCACTTCTTTCCCCTTACCTTGCCCAATGACGAACCTTTTGGCTCTTGGGCATGGATAGGGTAGGGCGGTCTGAACATGACCGAGCTACGGCACCGACGCCATGCGTCTTTGCTACGATCTCGAGGATTTCTAAAGTCCTTGGCGCTTTGCAACTGACCCACCACGCCAAGGCTTCAGTATCATTATTGCGGATGACTCTAGCGCGGGCCCGAATTTTTATTTATATTGCGCAGCCGTGGTGATTATCTTCTGGGCCCGCTTCCGCGTCTTAGAAACGCGAGGTTCCTCTAGAACTGGGCGACGGCCCCTACATCTCTACTCGAAGTCGCCTTGACGATGTTTACAGCAACCTAGATCATTAGCCTCGACGCTAGGTTTGATCAAGACAAATTCGACGTGTATTGTTACATATATATACCAGACATGGAAGAGGTGGTTCTTCGATCGCTTGCAGCCTTTATGTCTCGCGATCTCTGATTTCAGTTCGGAAGGGAACTGGGGGAAATGGGATGTTCTGTTCTTGCTTGAGTTTTTTCTTTTCGGCCGCATCTGGTTTTTTATTCATGGCGAAGGCCCGACATGTATTACGACAAAGTCATTGCAGGGCGAAGGATCACGGTCTTATACACAAAAGATGCTCGGTTGTTTCGGCTTTTAGATGGGCGAAAGGGCAGTTTTGCTTGGGGAGAGCCAGGCAAAGGGGCGCAGGTTATGAACTGATTTGTCCTTGCGGTACAGGCTTAACCCGCTCGTCTTTGCTCTCCATTTCGGGGCGCTTAGTGTGGGCAGGGTGGGCCTTGGTTCGGCTTCTGCTTGCATCTTTGTCTAGGCATGCTTTCTCACGACGTTATGGCAACCGATGATACTTTGCGCCCTTACGAATTGAAATTTTAGACATTTCTTCATATTCCTCGTTTCGTCATTGAAAATTTCCTATCCTTGGCCAAACGTATTACATAGCGAACGCGCTGCCTGTATGTAGTACCTCACACGAGGAAGAGATTGTCACCTGGAGCAGAAGGAATGGAGTGATAATGTATTCATGCTACCAAGCCCTTTTCTTGCCAAACTCCCATCATCATCATACGTAGTAGTAGATCCCAAAGTTACAAAGGAAACAGACAAAAAACTAAGCTTGTGTATGCCCTCGGTGGATGCCTCTGGGGGCGTAGCATCGTCAACTCCAGAGAGATTGCGCCATCCATCCATCACACATCTATGCACCTGCCCCAACGGCACTGCTCGCCGACTGCGGCGCCTTGGTTTTCCTCCGTGCCGGCTGATAGACATCGTTGAAGTTCATAGCGACCCCGAGGAAGCGCATGTCGACGTCGGGTTGGTAGGCGAGGTCGCCGAGGAGGATCTGCAGGCGCGTGCGGAAAGAGGTGCCTAGATGGCGGAGGCGGTCCACGAGGACGGGGAATTCGCTGCTAATGTTGGCCGACCCGGGGGACCCGGGGTGAGGCCGTCGTCGATGGGCCCGGCGCGGAGGCGGGAGAGGGTGGACACGCGGACGTCGGCCTCTTGCCGTCGAGTAAAGTCGCTCACGCTCCAGCTGTAGAGGCCGTCGACCGAGCTACGGTAGGCGAGCATGGTGCGCAGGAGATCCCCGAGCTGGGAGAGGTACGAGGTGCGGTCGTCCTCGCCGGTGACGGGGTCGACGGCGTGGCGGCGGCGGGCGCCGAGGAGGCCCTTGTGGGTGATGTCGTTGAGATAGCGCGTGTGCGCCTTGATGAGGTCGTCGAGGGTGCAGCCCTCGCGGCGGATCCGCTTCTGCAGCTCGCCCCAGGACGACTCGATGACCTCGAAGAGGATGTAGTACTGGAGCTGGCCGACGAAGTGGATCATCTCCGCGAGGACTCCGCGCGTGGACTTCCACGTCTCCTCGACGGCCGGGTCTCCGTTTTGCAGGACGCCGCGGGCGCCCGTCATGCACTTGCGCCAGGTCGAGGCCAAGGCGAACTCGACGCGCTTGATGCGCCAGAGGAAGTTGAAAACCTTCAAGTACTGGCGGTTGCCCCATTCCGTGACGACCACGTCCACGGGAGCGTCGATCTTGTATTCGAGGGTGAAGCAGTCCCAGCCAATATCGCCGTGCGAGAGCTGGAGCATGCGCGCGTCGAGGCGCCGAAGGACCTCGGGCGAGTCGTATTGCGCATTGGAGCCCCGGATGGCGTTCTCGAGCTGGGCCGTGAGAGTGTGTCGATACTGCGCGCTCGCGGGCCGGTCGAGGTACGCCGCGAGGGATTCCATGAGGAGGGCGATGAAGTCGCCTTGGCCGAGAAGGATGTAGTTTTTGAGGGCTTGCAGATGCTCAAAGAGGTGGAACTTGGTCTCCATGAGGTCCATCAGGCGTTTCATGGTGGTCTTGTACGCCTCGTCGATCCAGGCTTCCAGCCGCGCCGTGTCCCCATAGCGCAGCTCCTTGGAGGCGGCCTTGAGTACTCCATGACCCATTGCGAGTCGCCGCAGCTGTGCCGGATGAAATTAAGCGATTTGCCAATGAGGAAGACCTTTGGGCGAAATCTTGGGTAATGATGCTGGGGATCATGTCCTTGTCTATCTCGTACTTGTCTTCCCAGACGCTGTTTCCCCTGACTTGGCCTTGTTGGCGTCATTCTCGCCGTGCGCCTGTTCTCTGACGAAGAACTCGAGATAGGGGTCAAGAAGCTCGCCGTCATAGATCCAGTGGCGGAGAATGTCAAAGAATGGCCGGGTAAACTGCCCCAGGAGCCGCTCGGCAAACGCTGCTACCATCGGGTCACCATAAGAGGAAGAGTAGCTATGTATCATCGAGATCAGTTTCCCTCCCCTCTGTTTCTCTGACTCCTCCGCGATGAGGCACATGAGACGTAGGCCCATGGTAGCCTCTCTCGTCCAGACCACGCATCTCTTGAGAGTTACTCCTGCCTTTCCAATCCCTCGGCGCGGAGCATCCTCATCTAACGACGCGAGAGCACGCCGAATTTGGACTTCGAGGGTAGCGATTAAGCTTAGGTACGATTTGAGTTCCGTGCTAATAGCTGCTCTAAGGCTCTGGCCGAGGAGACCCTTGACCTGGGATTTCACAAAGGTATCGAGACTCTTGTACAGCAAAGACGGCTCGGCAAGGGTGTGTAAAAGTGATATTATAGGTGCGGGGAGGGTAGGGGGTAGGCTGAGGGTATCCAGCCTTTCGAAGGGCATCGTTGTGGAAGAGAGTCCCTGCAGGGTAAAAGGTAGATCGCGCAAGAGAGACGGCTCGGACGGGTCGATGTCGACGTAGTTGTCAGCCAAATGCCTTGACTTTAATGCTACCTCTCGCTTAGGTGATTCCTTGGTGGCATCGGGTGTATGCCTCTCCTTCTCCTCGTCGGCCCTTTTCGCCTCTCGCGGCTGTGGAGGGAATTTCTTGAGTCCGCCCTGCGCAAACGCCTCATTGAAAACCTCTTCATCCGCGGCTACGGCTGGCGTTTGGGATTTCGGGGTCGGGTGATGCTCTGATCTACTCGACGCCTCGAGAGGATGGCGGGACGGGGCTGGTTCGAGGGGAGGGGCTCATCTGGGTCCGGGGAGTCAGCGAGCTGGTAAAGGAGGTAGAGGATGGCCCATTTTTGCTTGAGTACGGGGAGCGATAGCAGGCGGCTGTAGAGGTTTGAGAAGCGGAGGGCTTGGCTTGGATTCGACTGGATCAGCTTGCGCTTGATCATGTCGGACGCATGATTGACATCGGACGAGATCGCTGGCGAAGCGGGACTAAAGGGGCACAATGGTTTAGTGTGAAAGACGGACACGGGCAGCCGGGTGGTTGGGAGCTAGAGAACACAAAGGCGGCATACCTCTCCAGGATATTCTTTACAAGCTCAAAACAGTCATCGTGCCTTTTTGGGCGGCGTCTTCACCCTCGCGAGGATTAGTGGGGATGATGTGGGTGATTAGCCTGTCGACAGCATCGACCAGTTTGTTATTGTTGGGAGGCATCGTGGCATTCTGGTAGCACTTGGGTGCCGGGAGCTTCCCAGGGTCGACGGCGTGCTGAGGACGACTGACGTGGTGTTGAACGTTGTATTGGGCTTGAGCCTTGTGCTGTGCACAAGAGCATCAATTCGTTTAAAGTGGTCCTGATAGTGATGGTGGGACGCGACGACCGCGACTTGTTTTTGGATAGTGCCGGGATGAGGGGTGATTAAAAGTGTCGGTACATTGAAAAATACCCAAATAAGTAATGACCAGAGGTATATCTACTTGTGCTCGAACTTCTTGAGAGCACCCCAGACAGTCGCGGCCTTGCATGTCGTTGCGGGCCCGACTAGGCTCGTGTCACCTGGAGAAGGTAAAACCTTCAAACAAAGAACCTTTTGAGGTATGAATCATATTAATGAAAGAAGATGCGTAGATGAGTTGCCGCAACCACCGGTACCGGCGGTGCCCATCTCCAAAACCAGCTTGGTGTTCGGGAACACCTCGACCAAAAGCCAATCAACGATATTGTCACATTTTAAACAAACTAGGTGCATACCATAGTAGGAGGACCGGTATCTTCAACCAACCTCAATTGTAGTGGCTATTGGTGGCAGATCCTGAATACCTTTCTTCGCCCATGCATCTATTGAGCTGAGAATAAGGGCATGTGGCGAAAACCTAGACTTTGGTAATTCAGCGCGACAATCCTCAATAGGCATAGTTGGTCCCGAAACTCGATTCGAGATGTTGAATTATTACTTTGAACCCGGCCGATGAAGCATAAAAGACCCAAAGCTATCCAAGCGACGCAGGGCTTCATCCGTGAGGGATGATATCAGTGAAGAACTGGGGGAAGCGGAGCGCACGGAAACCGCCTATCACGTGCCTTTCTGGGATTGTGGTGATTCAAGTTGCTGAATGCACGCTTGTGGAGAATCATCGGCCGGTCTATCGACAACCGTGTAACAAGACGAGGCTGATGATCATAGAATCACGTGACCCAACCTAAAAGACCGCCGTGTAAGAGACGACGGCGGACATTGACATCTCCAATGCCTCCGACCTGTGCCCAATCCAGTCATCTGTTTTGCCGCCACAACGGGCGAAATCAATTCATCTTACGTCAAATATCAGGTCGCCATTAACATTTTATAATTTCTATGCGTGTAATGTTTACTCCGCCTCGTAGCGCGTCCCTCTAGCGCTATACGCGACTGAGGAATTGACATCGCGCTCGACGATGCCGGATATCGACCCCGCGGCCCTGAGCCGCCCGTCGGTCACCCTATCGACGCCTCCTTTATCGAACAAAGCTATAGTGGTTTCTGCACCGGGCGCGCAGAAGATTACCAAGTCGAGCCAAATCATACCAGCGAGAATTGACCTAGAGCCTCTCTACACGGCCTTGAAATCAACCATCCCCAGCGACCAATGGCTCGTGTACAAAGAATCAACAACCCAGTTCCTCATAGGTACGGCGCTCTGACTACCTCCTTCCATCTTTCTCTATCAATGTTTAACTTCATCTAACTTGTACTCTAGGGCGTTTAAATCAGACCGAATACTCGTCTCGAATCGATCCCATCCTCGCTTCGCCGACCGGCGAGAAAGAACACTTTCATAACCAACTTATCGCAGCTATCTACGGAAATGTCACCCGAGAAATGCCAGATCAGGGGCTTGCCCCTGGGTTAGCGCCAACGACAAGCCTGTCACAGGACAAGGCGCTAAGCCGACGACCGGCGATGCGAGCGAACGAAGATTGAAAGGCGAGGTCATGCAGCTGCTTAGCAGAGATCGCAGGCGCATTAAAGACTTGGCCAATAATGATGTTCGTATACCAGCTGTTTTCACCCATAGTTATCTCTATGGCCCTAACAAGACGTTCCAAATCAGTTCGATCCGCATGAGAGTCTCGCTGGTGTCTTTTCGGAGACATATAAACGGCCAGCCAAGGTTATTGATGTACCCCAGAGCGCTGCTGGTATAAATAACATGAGTGAGTCACGCCAATCAAAACATTGCGATACTAGAGCCAAAGCTGATTCTCCTCTCTTCAAGATGTTGATCTTGAGGTTCGAAAACGTTTCGCGCTACCCCTAGCTATAGAGTCTGGAGAGTTCCCAGACGTCTCGGTTATCGAAGGGCGCATGCTTCCTTCTGCTACGAGGCTGGCCTCGCCTCCGGACATTCCTCAGACGCCGCCCAGCTGATGCTGGTTGCTACCGAAACCTTTATCAAGGACGTTTTGTCTACCGTCTTTAGCCGGACTAGAAGCAACGCGCCAGGCGCCTCCGGCAGCACTGGGACAGATGTCGGAACCACCTGGATTCAAACCCATGCTTATACAAAACAGCTCGCTGTCGAAGAGGAGGCCTCGCGCAAAGGCGAGCTCACGCGAGATAAAGGGGGCCTCCTGCCAGTCGAGGCGAAAGCCGCCAGTGAACGCGGGCCGCTGGGCCTGGCAGATATGCAGCTAGCGATGGAGCTCGCGGATATCGGGCTGGCCAATTTCCCAGTTATAGAAACTTCGATGACCTACGGGTACCGTGACGGCGAGCTAGAGCACTGGGATGACTATACCTGGACCGATGAGCAGTACAGTAAACTGCCCCCAACCGAAATACCCCGTATCCCTGGCCTAGGTAGCAGTTCGGGCCCTGAGCTCACGAACGGCCACGCGGACGCCATGGACATCGACAACGACATGTGGTGGGAGGGCACCGAAGCTCAGGATATGGGCAGCTTAGACTCCGTTCTCGACTCTTGCTTGGCTGTAGGGTATTAACGCGATACCCACCCTCGCCCTTTATTTTACTCTTGTCCTGCTAAATATAGCACGGCAGAGCACAGCATATTCTATATTTCATCATTGTTCCGGGAGGACCGACCGGACTGGCTAGCGGCGCTCGAGGCTTTGGCGGTGCACGAGGAATCATCCCTTCAGCGAATGTGAGAAGCAGCGCGAGGCTCCCGGCAGAGGTGTGACGACGGACCTGGCGCGGGATTGGAGGCGTTGGCTAAGGCGCACACGTTGTTGCCTCCTTAACCGGACATCGATTACACTTGCATTGATACTCACCAGCATTGAAAAATGGCGCAATGGGCGGACTTGTGGGCTCGGTTTTTATCTTTATCATATTTCTCTTATCCCCTCTAACACCCACGGCTCTTTGTTTAACCCTCTCCCTCACCCACATCCTCCTTGAAAAGATCTACGCGCTTTCGTTTGTTTTTTGCTCTTCCTCTTTTCTCTTCTATCCAACCCAAGTCACATACACACCTATATCAGGCCTGATTGTTATTTGATCTTTTCTACCGACCCTAGCCCACCCCCTACACACACACACATTTATCTTGTCCACTTTTCTTTTTTTTTGTAGGTTCCCTTTTCTTCTCTTCTGCTTGTCAAGGGGACGGTCTTTGTATTATTAAGGGGAGAAGAGGGGGATTGGCGAGAGAGGTAGTCGGTGTCGTGAGGCTGTTTTGTGTTATGTCGCTGATCCAATCGTGGGGCGGTCTGAAGATGGCGTAGTTTGGGTAAACATTGCTTGCCTTGCAGTTTGTGTGTATTTTTATGGACGATACCCGGAAGACGTCCCCAACAATACGGGCTCGCCGTGTACTACGATTTTATATAAACAAGCCCCTTTTTTGTTCTATTTTTGCCAGTTCCCGGCCTCATATGCCTGCTGCTCCAGCTGCTCCGTCTTGATTCCTTTTTCGAGTTGACCTCTCGAGTTGCTTGGATGGGGGTGGGGGCGCTGTTCAAGGAAACAACCAGCTGCAACGAGGCGTTTGATGTTGCACCTGTCAAATTGACCGCTAGATCTCGCGATTCCTTTGGTACTATACCCCTTAATAACCCTGCCATGGGACCCTACGGCATCGTTTGACAGACCCGTTGACCCGCTTGACAGCGGCTACAGCAGCAGGACCTGCGACGTCTCTGGCAACGGGAGGGGCGGTTCTCGTTCAACGTCGTTTGCAGCACCCAAATCCCCCATCCCTGGTTAGCAGGTCTCCGCTAAAGCGCCCGCACGCCGCCCAAGCGGCATTCACCCATGTCATGACCTACGAAGTAGTACCTATTCAAGAAGGACGAGATATTACTCTATAGTTATGGGTGAGCGTACGAGAGACTTGTGTGTAGTTTTCCAAGTGCGATAATCGCGAGCCAGACACCACGCTTGGACCCTTGACAACACGTACCGCCACCTACCTGCGGGACGAGGTTCTTTGAACCCTGTCCGCATCGGCCGAAAGAGCCCGAGCTGTCAACTCTAGCAAGACTGGGCCGAACTGGGACCATCTACCCCTAACAAATCTGGAGTCTTCTAGAAGACAAGACCATTGCGACTCGCGAGGACCAAGGCCATGTGGGTCAATTGTGACAAGGATGGGAGCCAAAGGGGGAAAGAGCCGGAGATGCTACACGCCCCTTTCTTGCTCCCGCCCCAGGCTGTGCTTCCAAGAGAAACCAGAACAGCTTTCAAAGTACCCAATGACGGGTGGGAAATTGGATGGCCGGTTACGAGAAAGGGACCTTGCTGATCTGCAAGCCCATGGAAGTTTCGAAGATTCATAGAATCGTGCAGTTTCTCTGCGAAGCTTACATCACACATCACTCGTGCCCGGTACTTCGAAGGACGAGGCTCAGGGTCAAATCGAGCTCCGGTCGGTATTTGATTTGCATATGGCCCGGTACTCAGGACGAACTCCCGCCCCCAGAGCCCTCCATCATGACCCGGCTACAACATAACGATGCGGCCTTCGGCTGAGCAAGAAAAGAGGCTGACTGTGTAATAGTCATGTTGCAGGCGACCTACATGAGAGGCGGCAGGGAAGAATATGCAACCAACAGGGGGAGGGGGGCAAGCGAGAATCAAGAAAGAAAAAAAGGGAGTGAGGATGAACAAGACTTGATGAGACAAGCTTCGTGCGTCTCCCTGTGCGTTCAAGCAGATGTGTGGGTGGTGGGGGCACTCTTCCACGTCGGTCGGCCTGTCCTCTTTCACCGACACAATGAGCTCCATGGCACAAATGGCACAAGCGACCTACAAGTTGAAGGTACCCCTTTTCGGACGGGCCTGGCCACTTTTACCGCCCAAGACTTCTTAGCTTCCAGGTCCTAATCTCCAATGCTGAGAAGTGTCGTTGGCCAGCATTGATCAGCTGTATGATGGGGTACATGGACCTGAGTACTCGTGTCGTGGATTTTTACCTGCGGAAGAGGCAAATTCAAGCACCCTTGTGCCAAATGCGTCATCCGTGCTGCACCCAACGCTGCGCTAATGCTGCTCGGCGGCTTGCTACTGGTCTGTCAAGGTGCCACCCGCCGTGCCATGGAGAGTATAATATGTACGAAAGAGAATCTGGAAACGCATCGAGGGGCGGGGCAGGTCTGGATGCAGAGAAGGAACAAGGAATATGGAAGATTGGCGTGATGGGGGCAGAGGAGGGGAGAGAAAAGGGGGGTGGTTTACTAAATTCTAGCGGGATGAACAATGTGTGGCAGGATGCCGCGGGGCGCGTGGGAAAATGAGACTATTGGGCAAGAATAGACAGATCAATGCCCAAGGCAACATTGGAGACCTCCCAGAAGATGCACATGTTGTTCAATTGAACACAGTCGTGCGCCCTCGAGAGGCATCTGGTCAACTGATTTTTCCCAAGTTGGAGGGAGGGGGAAAGGCGTAACTGGCGGGGGTGGGGTGCGTCCTCCCTGGTCACATAATTTTGACTAGAAGCAATATGAGCTTGATTCCCGCTAGCGTTCAGAATTGTGTTCAGAGCCAAGCAAGGAGGGATGACTTGAGAGGAGCATTAGAGACAACTCCCTCCTTCTGGCATTACATGTAATAACAACAAGATGGATCCCGTTGATTCCAAGGAGGTGCCAGGAGCAAGGGCGAGCGGAGGGATCAAAAAAGTGAGCAAATAGAAGCGCTGGCTTTTTTTTTTTTTTCTCTCACCAGACTATAAACAGACCTGACAGGATCCTCCATGTCTCCTTTGGCATGAAGAAAGATGATCTAGAACAAGCAGCAGGCAATTTTCGAGCGCCAGGGTATACAATTGATTAGGTGGCCACGGGATAGTGGAAGAGTCCTGGATGTGTGCACGCCGCTGCACATTCTGCCACAGCACGTCTTCGCACATTCGAAACCCCTCCACCTCAAATCCACTTCTTTTCCTTTTTTCCTTTCGTTTTTCATTCTTTTCATTCTTCGAATTTACGTAAACGGGCTGCTATGGAAATGGCCATTGTATCTATAGACCGCACATAGAGCATGGATCTTTCCTTGGAGCAGTGTTGAGGAGCCAGGACCTTGAAGGGGAAGGAGTTGGTCAAGGATCATCAATTGATTGAGAATAGTAATTTGGCTTTGGCTTTGACTTTGGCCCCGAATGTGGATTGTTGGATGTGAAGGATATCGGAAGGAAAGAGCAGGGGAGACCCCCGACGCGAGGGGCCAAGATCGCCCCTGCCGTCCAAGTGCAAGAAAGAGTGCTTGAGGCGAGCGAAGGGAAGCCGCAGGCACGGGTCGACATGTGGCTCCTGCGTTTTCTAGAATTGTTCGATTGGCTGCGGGGTCATGCTCACCAAGTGCCACTATCAGAGCAGCTTCCCCCACCAGTGTTCCGGTCCCACCACCAGAGGTGTTCGACAGGACATTCCCACCTTCGATTCCCGCCTTCTATTCCCACCTTGGCCTGGCCCCAGCAAAAATAATATCCCCGTTCCCACCCTCCTCCTTCCCCCTCCTCCTTGTACTTTATCGCTTGGTGGTCCAAGTTCCCTGCCCTGCGTTGTGCTGCCCCTGCTGCGTCGTTCCCACCACGAGAAAGTCTCGTTTTGGTGAACCGAAAAGAGAGGAAGATTATTAGGGAAAACGGAAAAAAAAAAAAAAAAAAAAAGAAGAAAAAAGGAGAGAGAGGAGGGGCGTGTCAACCCAAACAGGAGCTTTCATCGTGAAGCGCCATAGTAATATTCGAGTCCAAAGCTTGTCCAAACGATTCCCATCGCTCTTCTATTCATTCACTCCTCGCCCATCTCATCCTTCTTCTTCTTCCTCTCCCAACTCAAATCAGTTCCTCCCATCCGTTCCCTTCCCCCTCTATCCTTTCTCTCCACCACGTCTGGCTTTAGGTAATTGGTCGTGAGCCCCTCGTCTTCTATCTCTGTAGCTGCTTCGCCTTTGGTTGTGCTCTCGTTTCAACTGCACCGCCGGAAGCTCCCAACAGCCAACCCAGCAAGCGAAAGCCTCCTCCGGCGGCCCGCATACACCTCCGCGACATCAATCAATCAATGACAGCGCTGTAAATTCCCACCTCTAGATTTGTTGTTTCTGACCCAGAAACAACCTTTTGACACCCCATCTCAGCACCTGAACAACGGCGGATTCGCTCCACTGCCGGAGCTTGCTCTCCACGCGCAAGACAGATCTCTTGTGCTGTGACTTTAGCTTTCATTAGTCACCCCCTTCCAGTGCGTTATCTTCCCGAACCCGAAGCACTCACGCAAGGCCTCCCTTCTTGTCCCTACCTTGCATCATTCCAGCCCTTTTGCCATTGCACATCCGTCGACCACACCCTCTCCTCCCTCTCCTCTCTCTCATCGTCTTACCCTCACTCGCCTGCCTTTTCCCTCTCGCCTCGCCAAGGAGTCTGTTCCTTCCTTCCCGACATCCAGATCTAGCGATTGGTTACTGACCTTGGCACGCCGACCTAGGAACACCTCTGTCCCGTTCACTTACCTTTTTCCGAGACCGGGTGTTAGGCGACATTTAACCCACCTACCCACCAAAACCAGCCTCATCCATCTTGTCTCTAGCATCACCGAGCTCCTAATTTCTCTTGCGCAATTGCAGCCTTCGCTCGACTTATAGCGGCCACTTACGTCTACCTCTCTTCAAGCGATTATTCCCCGTAAGTTATCCCACTGCCACTTGCCTGGCGTTTGCTGCTTCTGCCCGCACGCATCTTGCCTTCAACTGGCGCAATTCGTCCGAGAAAGCGCCCCTCCTTTTGTTTGCCCTCCTGCCTTCCACACCCCACCCAGCTCGACCACAGCTCCCACGACTGTGTGGCCTGTGCTTCACAAAGCTTTGCGACCTGTCTCTCCCTTCTCACGGCTCCTCCTTCGTTGTCCCAAGCTTCCCGTATCCCCAGCATCCGAAATTTTTCCCCTTGCAGTGCTTATCGGTCGGTCCGCGAGCTTGTGTCCTGAGCCGTCTTATCCCGCTCTCGTCAAGTACATGCTACCCTTACGTCAGGGTCGATCGGACTTCTACAGCGGCCAACATCTCGGCCTCCAAGCAATGCACTCTCCTTCATACCTACGCAGGCTCTCTTAAACAAGCCGCAGTCTTTCCAAGGCTTTTCCCCCAATCCCCCTCGTAAATCTTTTTTTTTTTTGCCAATCCTTCTTTCCTCTATTGTTTAAGCGACTTATCGGTCTTTTCATTTCAAACGTTGACCGTCCCTCCTACTCTACCTGTATGACCTTCACTTTCACCACTGCACATGTCGCACAGCCTTCCCACCGCACCGGACCACCCTTCTGTTTTTCTTACATGTTTCTAAACTAACCAAGTACAAAAATTCAACAGAACATCTCAAAGTGACCCCGTCAACAGGTCACGGACGTCTTGCAATACCTCGCTAGTTGCCTTTATCAAGACCAATTGCTTCATAGCGTACGCCCTACTCACCCCGTCCCCAAGAGATCCAAAAGCCCACGCCCCAGGCAGCTACAGTCTTTACCTCGACGAATCCCCTTGCGAGAGGCCACATACCGATCTCGTCGAAGCTGTACGTGACGCGCAGCACTCGCCCCAACATTCGCAAAGGGGAAAGGCGAAAACAAGAAACAAGAAGAGACGGCTACTTGATCCGCACTAGGCCGGTCCCGTCAGCTCAAGCGCCAGTCTACTCTTTAGAATGTCATCCGCCCCGTTTGCCTCTGGTGTTAACCCTTTTGGTGGAAGTGAGGGGTCGAAGCCAGCAGCCGGCAGTAGCCCAGGAATGCAACGGGTTGTCGAGGAAGACGAGGACGGCACCATGGCTTCCCCACGACGCCGAGCTTTGGACAGCCCAATTTCGGTGGTGCTACGTTATTCAACACACCTTTCAACACAGATAATAATGCCGACACATTAGGGTCTGGTTTCCATTCCATTTCCAACCCCGAATCCTATCCTGCGCAGTACAATTTTGCTCGCAGGACCTCGGTTTCAGCAGAGTCTTTAAAGCCAAGCGCTGATACCGACGACAACTGGTCGCCGCCCCATCATGAAAAGATACCCGAGCAACTCCAGCGCCTAAAAAACGCTTTGCAAGACAATTTTCTATTCGCACACTTGGATGAGGAACAGTATTCCCAAGTGCTCGGCGCGCTTGTTGAAAAGCCTATTCCCGCGAAGGATATCAAGGTGCGTCATGTCAACTCTTTCTCTTCGTCTCTCCCCCTCTGCCTCCACCTCTCCCACTTCCATCTCTCCGTCATCCGGCTTGAGTCTCTCTGAACTTTTCCACTTTGCCTTTCCCTTTCCACTTTGTGCGTTTCTTCTTTATCTTTATCTTTATTTCCCCCTTTTGGGGTGTTACAGAAAACTGACGGCAATGCACGGGATAGGTGATTGTACAAGGCGACGTGGGTGACTATTTTTACATTGTAGAGAAGGGTGTATTCGACGTTTATGTTCATCCATCGGGAAGCGTACAACCTGGTCCTACCGGAATAGGCAGTCATGTTGGCACGATCAACGCGGGTGGCTCCTTTGGTGAACTTGCGCTCATGTACAACGCCCCGCGTGCTGCCACGATTGTCTCGGCATCGCCCTTATCTACCCTCTGGGCACTTGACCGTGTCACGTTTCGCAAAATTCTACTGGAATCCTCGTTTGCGCGAAGGCGCATGTACGAGCACTTCCTCGCCGAGGTGCCCTTGCTCTCTTCACTCACGCCCTATGAGCGCTCCAAGATTGCCGATGCTTTGGAGTCATCCAAGTTTGCTTCAGGAGAGTCTATCATCAGGAAGGCGACCAAGGCTCCACCTTTTATCTCATGGTCAGTGGTGAAGCGGACGCTTTCAAGTCCAACGAGGAGGGCGTGGTCAAGCACTACCAGAAGGGTGACTTTTTTGGAGAGCTTGCGTTGCTCAACGACAAGCCACGAGCAGCCACGGTAGTTGCGGCGACGGATGTCAAGGTGGCCGTCCTAGGCAAGTCTGCTTTCCAGAGGATGCTTGGGCCGGTCGAAAGTATCATGAGGAGGACTAAATATGTCGGCGTGAAATCCGGGGTTGAAGAGATGGACCCTCTGCAAAAGGACTAGTTAGATAGAAAGCTTTCTCTTCGCCGTCTTCTTCGGTTCCTTTTTTCGTTTTTTTCTCTTTTAAAAACTGTTTTTACTTGTTCTTCCCCTTCTTCGTCTTCCTCTTCTGCTTCTTCTTTTCTTCTTGTTCGCCATTTTGACATCTTTCCTTGTTAACTGCGCATCCATTCCTTAGTCTTTCTCTAAATCTTGAAACCGGAGGCCAGGCGTAGACCGGAGGCATATGTCTGTTGGGAGAAGAGAGGAAAATGTTATCACTGGGATAGGGGACCTAAAAGTTCCGGCTAAGAAGTGGCGGCTCTCTTCAATGTCATACTCTCAGATACACCACATACCCACCCACATGTTAACCTTTCTTCTTCCCCTCACCGAGGTTGTTGAACACTGTTGCTTTCATTAGAGAATCTATCTATTTGCTGCGGAGAAAAAGAACAAAGAACAAAGGCAAAGAAAAAGAAAAAGAAAAGAAACCAGGCTTAACTAGACGAGTGAGGCAAGCTGCCCTCCGCGCCGAGCGTGTTGACTGGAAGGACCATAGCCCAGACAGAATCGATGGGAGTGCCTGGGGGCGGAAGGCACCATGGGATGTGGGTCTTTGGGACACGTGAATTGCAATTGTGTAAACAGAATCCAGGGATTTGGCGATCTACCCTTTTGGAGTTGGTGCTCGCTGATATTCACGGTAACCTCGCGTCCGCTTATGCTACGTCCATGGCGTCTCCTTGCGCCCGCATTCGGTCCCTAATTTCCCTCTTTAACTCCTCAACAGCAACTTCGGTCTCAAGAGTCCTAGCGATGCCCTTTTTCCACGCTTCTTCCAGCGACCTCATTTGGCCCGAGACTTGATCCTGCGCCCTCCTCCTCTCGAGGGCAAGTCTATCGACTGACGATTTCGCGGTTGTGAGCTCCGCCTCCAGGGTCGCCAGATAGGACTCCAGCTGCCAGTTAGCGATGAGCCATGCGTTCTTCCCGTGTGCGTCAAGAAGACCTAAGGAGGCGGAGCGACCCGACAGGTAGGCGGCAGACGCATAGGCGCGGGAGAGGGAGTTGAGAGCGGTGGGGAGACTGGCGTCAGAGGTAAGTGAGTCCTGCTCTTCATAACGGGAGAGATCGATGGCGTTGAGGGGTTCTTTAGACTCGGACTGGGGCGGAATTAGGGTGGATATGGCGGGGAGAAGGTTGGGGAAGAAGGAGCGCGGAGGGAGGGGTGCGGAGGGCGGTCGGCGGGGAGCTCGGAGGATATTAGAGATTGCGCGGCCGCGAGTTCGGATTGTGTGGGCTCGGTGTCGATATCTGGTAGTTAGAGGGGTGGGGATGTGAGTATTTATTTTATTTTTCAGAGAATCGTCTGGCATCAAAACGGGAGGAAATGGGATGGGGCGGGCCGCCGCGGGCGCAGAACATACAGGGTAGAGATTCGAAAATCTCTTCGCGTATAGACATTTTGGGAAGAAGGGGAGGGCGAGGCGGCGCGACGACCGAATGCGCAAGCCGCGGGTTCCAGGTACGAGGTTCAGTCACTATGGAGGGTTTGAGGGGTATCTGCGAGGCCGGTTTTTGATTCTCGTCTGGTGCGGCGCGGGCGCGGGCGCGGGCGCGGATGGAATGTGGTTGGGAGCCTCGGGGTACAGAGCTGAGAATGAGGGGTGCAAGCACGGCGCGGTTGGTGTATATTTGCGATTACTCTTCTTGTGGCCGCGCGAGAGTGTATTTGGGTTTAAGGAGTGGCTGATAAATTCCAAAAGAAAAGAAGAGGAAATAAAATTGGAGACGCGTAGCGGGATTGGGGAAGTTCGAGGAGGGTCGAGTTGCGGGTTGCGCGAAAGGGAAAAAAGAAGAAACACCACGTTCAGCCTTGCGCTAGTGGCAAGCAGTAGCCCAATGACGGTCCGTCAATCGCTTTCAGCGCACGTGGTGGGCAGGGCCAGCCAGCCAGTCAGCCGGCCGTTGCTGCCAGCGAAGTGCGCTGGAATGGCGCGAGTACAGTGCTGAAAGGGCGCCCAGACTCAGCTGAGGGAAACAAATCTATAGAAAGTTCCACCTGGTAAGTTCCTGACAATCCGACCAAAGAGCACAGACCATACGCATCGATGGTTTCAAAGGCCTGGCCTACACCTTCCCCTTCCAGTGCAGTGCTGTTTCCTAGGCGTGCTGCACCACTGTGGGCTTACTACTGCATAGACTTGCTGAGTGGACCCTCATCATTCCCTCGTCCTCGTCCTCCCCTCCCTCCTTTCTTTTGACCTTATCGAAACCAAAATTGCGGGAAATCAATCGAATGGATCGATTGATGGAAAGCAGTGTGGAAGCTTTTCTGCTCTCGCGGCCTCAGACTGAGCCTCGCGAGGCCAGAAATGCCTGATCGGTTTCCGATCGTCTCTTCACGCTAAATGGCCAATCCGCGGCGTGCAGACAAAGTCTCTTTGAAGACAACAAAGGCGAACCCGACTTATGAGGCAATTGAAAATGAAGCAGAGGGGATCTGGGTCAATTTTACCCTCCCAAACGGCCTCCCGAGAGACAAGAAAAGAAGGCAGTACAGAATTTGTTTGAGCATTGATCAATGAGAGCTTTCCAGAGTCATCGTTGAGCAGCTCGACTTTCCCCCTGGTCGTTCGACGTCATTCAACCTGCACTGTACCGTGGGACTGCGGGGAAAAGCCCCACCCCAACACGAATCCATCGGAGTGCGACCGAGTGTGAGCCAAAGAGAACGGTCGTAGGTGATAATAATATCCGTCCTACTCCCTCACAACGAGTGGTTATACCCCTCCAAGGTCTTCTCTCTAGGGTCCCCTTAGACCACGCACAGTCCGAGAGGTTGGTTTGAACTGGAGATTCGACAAGAAAATCGCCTTTTATCGGCGAGGCATGGTTTCATGAAATAGAGCCCCAGTTGAAGGAGGGGCAGAACCCCAGAAGACATCGAGACCTGTTCCACTTACGCTTCTGCGCATGGTGCGTATCACTTCGGGATCATCACGACTGATGGTAACGGATCCGCATTAATTGATTAAGCTCCATCCTTTGGCATATATTCTCTTTGCAATTCGTCTGCAAAGGCTCCGCGCTGCCTATGAATTGGCCTCGCGCAGCCCGGGAGGCACTCCCGAACTTGTTGCCTCCTGCAAGCGGAAGCACAATGACCCATGGGATATCTCTCTCCATGTCTATCGTCCCCCTTCTCAAATTTACCGTTACTACATCTTCTTCCCATCTTGTCGGACGGTTAACAGCCATTTCCCATGCTCCCAACAATATATTTTTGGTCACTCTCTATTCCTCATCCTCTCCGGCCCCCATCCCCTCCTTCCTCCCTCCTTCTAGACTTGCACCGTATCTTGCCAAAGTATGGTGTGCATCCAGCCCCAAAGTCTGTTTCAAAGGAGGAGTCGCTCATTTTGTAACCTATACATGCCATTCGTACAGAGTACTTCTGATGTCGTGTACCACCCACGGCTTGAAAAGCAAACTGCTGGCAGGAGGGATAGCACCGCTGCCATCTTCCGTCAGCCCATTGCAACATCATTGGAAACCTTGTCGCCACTCCTCCTTTTGCGTCTCCGGGTCGAGTGTCGAATTGCCCCCGAGCGTCCACACCCCTTTGAATGAGGTGCACAACGCTCCACGCCTCCAAGCCTCTCACTAAACTATGCCACCCCCTCTTTTTGCCTGTTCCACACCTATTCATCTCGCATTAGCGCAATACTACCCCTCAATGGTGATGATGGGGCTCGGTGTGGACCGTTGGGATGTGTGAAATCTCAACAACACGAGTAAGCACGAGGGGCGTTATCCAGAGCTCAAGGGTCTTAGATTACACGGCGACAAAAACAAAGAAGAGCGGGGGAAAGGAGACAGGTCTAACACCCGCACGGAGCGGACAGGGGTAACACAGCAGCCCAAGCGGAACCTATCGGCCAAGAACACGCATGAGAAAGGAGCAAAGGGCAAGCCACGTCTGGGGAGGAGAGCGAGGAGAGTTGTTCCATGCAAAGATTGCATTTGCATTTCTGTTTGCACAGGTTATATGATAGTACACTGGTTAACCTCAGTTGTGAGGTCTTGAATACTTTGGTCATGATCATCATGAGCGCCCGTAGTTGCGACATTTGCGCGAACTCCGCCAAAGCCAGAGAATAAAAAAGGTTGGAACACATTTGTAAGTCGTCCTGAGATTCCGCGATCCCCCGGTTTCCCATTACACCAACGGTAAAACAGCTGGACTGCGCGCGAGGTCCAGATTCCAAAAGGCCGCCAAAGAGAGAGAGAGAGAGGAAGGAGAAAGAAGAAATCCTTGACAGAGAGAAAAGAAAAAGAAAAAAGAGCCGTAATCATCATCAGCCGTAGTGAAATAGATAATACACCGTTAATATGTCATCGGCAGGACTAATTTTCCCGAACCCGTGAGGAGAAACGGAGAAAGCCTGCCGAGGGGGTTTTCGTAATATAAGTTGCGCTCGCAAAGAAGGCGTTTAAGATCAAAATGGAAGATTGGTTGGTGAAGGGAAGGAGAGAAGGAAATAGACAACGGGGACGGCTTCAACTTGGGACGACCGGTAGCTACGCCGCTTAAACCCCGGAGGATATGAGCAAAACGAGCACCGTCTTTTTGGGTCACCTAATTGACGCTGTTTCCGCTCTCCGAGCCCTCGGATGGGGCATAGTCATCGTCTTCCTCGAATTCCTCAAAGACCGGGTCCGTCTCATTCATGTCGAACTTGGTCTTGAAGTCTCGCATCTGGCTCGAGACGGAGCTGCTGTTGGACCGTCGGCGAGGTTTAACAAAGTTGAATTGGTCATCAAGAGCCTCGTCGCCCATGGTTCCCCTGCAGAGAAAACATCCCACCCGGTTAGCACTATGTATGGATCACTCGATATATGTGGAAAACACGCGGCTGGAACTCACCAATTGCCTTTACCACCACCGTTCTTCTTGGTCTTCTTGGGGTCCTGCCCCTCATACCCAGACTTGGCAAAATACTTGGGTAGGAAGACCTGGCGGGGCTTGCCGTCGGCAATGGCCTGGTAGTCGGGAGAGTTGACCTTGTGGGTTCGAGTCACTAGAGCGCGAGGTGAAAATCATATGTTAGTTATCCGTGATGGGATGGGGTGTCGCACGACAGGATGACGGCTGAATCGTGGCGCGAGCGGGGTGGCTCCTCCACAGTATAGGCAGGCACTCGCGGGGAGCGAATCGTCCGCCACCACACACACGCAAAGAAGATGCAGGAAGACGAGGGGAACGCATTCCACTCAGCAATGCTGAAAGGGAGATGAACCAGCAACTTACTTTTCAGGGATTCGGGTATTCGAGGGATTTGGTGTCGTTTATATATCTAAGCGAGGACTTGTGACGGATGTTGTTGAAGGATTGACAAAAGACACAGTGGCAGGGAGTGTGTTACAAGGAGAAGCAAGAAAAAGTATTAAAGAGATGGACTAATTGGTGACAAAAGGACGAAAAGACGAAAAAAGAGTAGATTTCTGATGCGTTCCGGATGGTTTCTGTATTTGAGCTGGATGAGGTATGAAGAGATGGGAAGAGGTGTCTTCAGTCAGGGGACGAGAGGTCCTATTTATGATTGATGGACGAGACTCGGCTGAGGTAGTTTGAGAGAGAAGTCGCAGCGGCGGATCCATCAATGGCCAATCCGTTTGTATCACGTCACGGTGGGATGGTGGGCAATTAGGGGAAAAGGGAACATCGAAGTGGTCTGTCTACCCCCTTCCAAGCTTCAAATCCAAGGGGCCCCGAAAGTCCAAGTACAGCCGCGGACACCAGGTGACTGACTCCATGACTCTTTTCTGTGGTGGGTATCGTCCCCCTCCGTACATGCCGGCGAAGGTATTACGGTACGGTACAAAGGGGGCCGAAGCGACAAGAGGCGACAGGGGAGGGGAACGGGGTCCCCCAGCCGAATGAAAGCTGCCCCGAAATCAACGACAGTGCTGGTTCAATCGATCTGGGCTGATGTTCTTCTCTCGAGCAACGAAGAAAACACTGTGTCGGTAGGCCAGAGGGATCGCATCTCGCCATCCATTCAATTGACCAATCGCCGAGAGTACCGTTGTGCCCAGGGCCCATTCCACCCTTGCCTCCGAGCACTTGAGCTCGACGTTGAGCAAAAGTGGACAAGTACCATAATACCCCCAATCGTCAATTGCAGCTCGCGTGCCGTTCGTTGCGAATCAACGGGTACCGGCGGTACAAGTGGACGACTCGTGAATGAGCGGCGCTCCTCCGCAGAATCGAGCTCCCGCCGAGGTACCCACTTCTGAGAACAGGCGGTTTTTGGGGCCGCGGGGCACCCGGATGATACGATTGATCAGGAGATGAAATCATTGGCGGCCCCCGGTTCTCTCTGGGGGCCCTGTCTCGGTAATAATGGAAGAATACTACTAGATGTACGCAGTGCTACAAGAAAAGAAAAAAGAAAGAAAAACAAAATCAATGGTTGATGGTCTAGCCAAGTGCTGGCTAGCAAGCTAGGTAGCCTGGACCATCCGCTAATGGCTGGCGCTAGGTACTGCTACAGGGCGCTCGCCTCGCGTGACCAAACGCCCCTTCGGCCACATTGCATCTCCCATCAATGTCTCACCCTTGGCCCGTCTCGCCAGGAACCCGTCTGTTTTGGAGTCATCGCCGTTTGCCGAACGAGAAGCTTGTCGAAGCAAGCAACAGAAGATCTTGGGGGCTGGCATCCCGAAGATAAGGGGCGGGTGGCAATGGAACTCTATGGATGTCGTAATGATAGGGCAATCGTCGTGATAAGTTCCGGATGTTGGTCCCGCCAGCACGCCGTGAAGAGCAGCTTATCGTTGGTCGGTCGCGATCGTTGTCAAGACCAAGGTGACATGGAAGGGGCAGCTAGCCTGCCGGGTTGCATATTGAAACGGTGTCCATCGCCGGATTCCGATCAGGCATTTGCTCTTCAAAGGGTATCTATCAATCTTCGAACAAGGTCAATGGCTCCCTTGGCTGGCCCTTTGGACCATGAGTCACCTATTGCGAGCTCCAGGATCAACCGCGTGTCTATTATTCCATGGGGAACTGGAGTTTGGGATAATGGCGTCGATAGATCCACTGCTTTCATCACGGAAACTTTGCCAAGATGGGGAGGCGACCGCAGCCTCCCAGCGCCGAGAATCAACCCCGTCAAGACGATACGACACGCCTTCCGAGATGGAGTCTGCTGCCAGCCGACCAAATCAACCGTCCGCAGCTCTTTTGAGGGGTTATCAACGATCAACGACGTATTCCATTGGTTTCCTTGGAGTCAATTGGTTCTTTGGCAGGTTCGGTAGTAGACCTAAATCCCTCTTACCTCATATCGCACTCACACCTCCCTGGGGAACCCGCCTCGTGGGCCGTGTGGTTGATCGGCCTCAAACTCAGTTGATCTGCAAAAGGCCGCCGTTGGGAGAAAGCGGGGTGGCGAAGCTCGGGCCATTCGAGAATGTCTGGACCAGAGCAGTGCCGCCATCCCACAACCACTGGCGAAGGAAGTCGAATCTTCAGGAAGGACGACACTAATACAACTGTGTACTTCGTACATTCTCAGCCAGGCGCCTCAACCAAACGCTCACTTCAAATTGTTCTCTTTCCGATTTTCTAATCTAGTCCTGCGCCGGTTTATCACGCAACCGTTATCTGTAGGATAGCGGAAGGCAGAAAATATCAATTGATTTTGATCCATGGGCGGCTTCATGCTCGAATTGGTAAGGGTGAGATGTCTTGGGCCTTTGGTCTTCCCTCAGCGTTGTCACGAGCCTTCACTTCAGGGTTGGCCCCTGAGGTCCATTGCTGTCAAATCAGCCTGGTGACCTTTGCTGCCGAGTTCGAGGCAATTTCCCCGCATTCCCGCCTCCTTTGGTTAAAACGAGCCAGCTCGTGCATTGAACTACACTTGGGATCCATGGCGCTTTTCTGGACACTGTGGTGATGATGAGCCTACTGCAGTGGACCATTGGATTGAAGTGCTCAACTGTCAAGACAACATGTCGGGACCTTCGTTATTAGTACAAGAGCGCCAGATTGCACCTGCCAAGTTTAGGTAATGAAATGCTTGATGCTGGAGCCGGTCCATTCGCAACGGCGATGGGAACGCCCCGAAAGCGTGCGCAATGCACTTCGCTCTTTCAAGGTTCCAGCTTTCGCCAGCTCCCGGATTCCCATTGTTCACTAAGTTTGGCCTCTGGCCTAAACCAAGCTAGCGCCTGCACGCTCTGAGACCGGGGAGGATTCGGTGCAGCAAGCTTGCAGATTAGAGGATGGGCTGGGTGGCTGGCCAGAATTCCATGTCGCATTCGAGCTCAGTGCAGGAGGACCAATAGGATGACTCAATTGAACGGTGCTTGGGTGGCCCTCACGGCCGAACAAAATGACGCACGTTTGCGCGTGCCCCGGCACTAGGTCTCTCAGATTAAGTGAGCGGCTTTTTGTCAATGGGCATGCCTATTTTGGCAGGGAAAGACAAAGAGAGGGTAATGGCAAGAAAGGAAAAGAATGAGAAAGAACAATAGGCATCCAGCAACTTCAAAGTCCATTCATGAATCAATAGCACCACTAGACGGATGGGTCGGTCTCGATCCAAGTCGTCACGTTGGCTCAAGCCAAGGGGGAACTTGCGTGGACATCTACAAGTATGCCTCATCTCTCTCATTGCGTGGCGGAAGGCGGGGCCAGCTCAACTCCACTCCTGCGGAGATGACTTCGGGTGGAGAAACCCAACGGTGACGAGTCGAGAAATCAAAGTACTCAGAGGATTGCTGCGCCAGAAAGCAACCCGCGATGCTCAGAGGTTCATCATCGCTTGATAGGCTTGAGAAGAGGGTCTAGAGGCTCGGGGTGTCTCCTCCCTCTTCTTTTGGATCGCACTCGCAGACGGGCAACCCCGCAAAACATTGGAACTTTCCGTAAAAATTGGCGCCTTTTTAACTTTCAGTAAACAACAATGGTTGAGCGTGGCTACTGGCCGCTGGCTCCATATGTCTGGGAAGTAGCGTCGTCTGCGGATGGCGCAAGCAGTCACGGGATCCCCGGCTCTCAACAGTTTGACATGGATCAATTGGCATCAATAATCCGGCCCACGTTCACCAGCTTCCCGAATTTCCCTCTCTGCAGTGGGAATTCAGTCACGAGGAGCCGAATAAATAGCTGTTTCTCTCGCCAGCTATGACTCTCTTCGATGCCGCCTTGGCATTTCAACCCCGGTGGGCTACACTGGCGTGGGCTAGGAGCTGGGAGCTGGGAGCTGGGAGCTGGGAGCTGGGAGTCATAATTGAAGCGGGCCTCTTGCACAAGGGACTCTGCGCTTCTCGTACAGCATGGACTCTTGGACCAGCTTCGCGTTCCGCGGGCGCCCTTGGCGAGCAAGCCCGGCATCCTCCTATCTCGATCGACCGCGGGCGTCTTGATGAACTTAACTTAAGCCTCTTTTCTTTCACGGCGCTTTGTTCCCGGTGGGGCTGCGGCTTATCTAGGAGTACTCGGCCCGGAGCCCACGGCCTTATCTTGCTATCTTATCCAAAGAAACAAGGTTGCGAAACTCTCCGGACTTTGATTATATCATCATCTCTCTCGACATAAAGAGCGGACATGAAATACCGATCCGTTCGGTCCGACGCCCCCGATGTCGCCATCCCCCGGGGATTGCGGTCTTCGGTTTCTACCGAGTATAGCTGATTGAAGATAGCCCTCCCGCAGAATTCCCACCCTCTTTATTGAATCAGCAGCCCGCGACCAGTGCTATGAGCTCTTTCGGAGCGCCTATAGAGGCCAAATAACGATACGGTCGAGAAGTGTGTTGCTATCTCGGGTCTTTGAAATGGATCTTTAGGTAAAAGGATGAAGGTGTTGGGCACCGAGGTCTATCAACCTGACTAGTAATTTCCTAGTCTACAGCAAAGGTCTTGAATATGCCCAAGATAAAAATAAATAAATAAAAAGACGAGACAGCATACACACCCCCATAGAGTCGCAAGAGTATTAAACGTCGCCCAAGCGTCCATAAAATTCACCCAGGAGAATGAATAGCACCCACTGTCGGTCCCCTCGATCGTAATGAAGAGCCGGACTGTTCTAGCAAGTCTTAGGCTGGGACAAGAAGCGAAGTAAAATAGCGGGTGGATATGGTTGCACCTTTTTCATATTTTGGAAGAGATATAACAAGAACAAAAAATAAACCCCCAGACGCGAAAAAAATTAAGCGACAAGGATGAGATTCGAACTCACGCTCCCGAAGGAACTGGCTTGCCGAATAGCAGGCCAGCGCATTAACCACTCTGCCACCTTGCCAGATACCTGGCATCACGTGTTGAAAACCCTTGGGTTAGTTTGCCTAGATAAAGGCAAAATTTCGCCATTTTGCAACCATGATTAGTAACAAAAGTGGATCCTCAACAGCTGGCTCTTGTGAACTGCCCATATTCTTATGCAGCTCATCTCATCGTCCGCTTGCCAAGCTGACGAGAAGACAACAGCCGAATCCCTTTATTGATGCAGCGTGCACAGGCAAGCGCTTCTCTAGTTCGGGAATGTTCCTGAACTCAGCTCAAGGTGTAATCTGGCCTCGCTAGAATTTGTTGGTGTTACACAACTGCCCATGTCTTCCGGCGCTAAGCGACCAGCCTTGAGAGGACAGCGGGAGCACGGCGTTCTGAGGTGTTGAAAGGGGAGTGAACCCTGAAGAGCGGTTTCTCTACTCGGTTTGAGTGCAAATTCTCAGGCCTGCACATCGGCTTACACGAGTTGAATACCTCTGTTTTTTTTCTTCCTTATTCTTGGGGGCTCTTGGAGATAGAGCTGCCCCCCTCAAGTTCACGCCGGGTAGCCTGGCACTACGGGGAAGTATTGCCAGGTGTCTATTGGCTGCATCCCCACGGTGGTTGGGGTAGATAGACATGGTGAGGCCGTTGCAAATGGGATCTCCACCCCTAGATCTGTCCTGCTCTGGACTGCCGGTTGGCCGTTGCGAATGTTCATGAGTTGGACATGGAGAGACGAATAGGCGTGGAAGAGAGTTTCGTGCTTGTGCTTGTATTCTTCCAGCATTGCCTCGAGATCCCGGATTCGTTGGTCCTTTCTCTCTCTATATGCCCTCTGCGATGCTCTATTTTGCGCCCGGCGTCGCTAATTTAAAGCGTTAGACATGTGCTGGCCGCGGCCCAGGGCACCTTGACTGGGGAACACGAACCGATAGCACCGAAGGAGGTGCATTTTTATATCGATTTTCCCTTTTCCTCTTAGGGGTGGGCTTTGTGTCCTTCGGGTCAGGATCTGCTGCTGAACTTGGCAGCCTATTTCGATGACCCTCTTCCATCTTGATAACGGGTTGGGGCGACGCCGTCTCTCGGGAGGAAACAGGGCTGGGATATATTCCAGATGACAGAGGATGAAAGTCTGGGACTATGGAGATGTCAAACTACCCGTGGAGGTACTCATGTTAGAGATCATCGCTCGATGCGCCGTTTCGGGCATGAAGATCATCCTTACCGCTGGCATCACTGGGCTCGTTGTCTCTGACGACGCCGAGGTCTCCGCGTACGAATGACCCGCATGGGTGTAGATGTACTGGGCCTCGAGAGACCCGAGAGGGCTGATAGTGGTGTTGAGATCCATGTGTACGGAGCTATTCATAATAGGCGGAAAATTTGTTCTGCGTAACTCTTTGGGAAGCGAGGTAGTGATAATCTCATCCCGGGGGTCTAGAGATATATATATGTGTGCGGATAGTGTGGGTGTGGGTGAGTGGGTGGGTGTGGGTGTGGATGTGCGAGTGTATGGGAGTGGGCAGTGGTCGCTTGAACAAGCGATGGACTCTTGAGTAACTGCTGCCTTGCACGGGCCGCAGTGGGGGAAAGGCACGGAGCGGTGCAGCAGGGTTTGAGTCGAGTAGTAGGGAGGGGAGCTTCTGACTGACGAGGGCTTCAACGCCTAACGGAGTCAAACGAGAAAAAAGGAGCGGAAACGATGATTACGAGTTGAAGCATGTGTATGGGGAGAGTAGAGGTGTGCGCGCGTCCCGGAAACAGAATGATGGGCCGACCAAGGTGCGCGAGGGGGCAGAGATACGGATGAGGCGAGCGACGGTCTTTTTGGCCAACGTCATGCGAGTGCTAGCCCGTTGGGCTATCTACAGGCTCCGGTCGAGGTGTGACGGCTGAGTGTACAACCTACGAGGGCAGTCGAACAACGGCCAGGCTTTTGTCGGAGTTGCGCCTTTTTTAGACTTCCGAGACGGGAGAGGACACGCTCCTCCCTCGACTTGGAGAGGGCCAGAAGAAAGGGAGGGGAGGTGGAAGGGGCAAGGGGGAAGGGGTTGGCTCAGGGCACAGGAACACAGGGACAGGGGTTTGCAGAAAGATGGATGAGAGAGTGCAGCGGGCTGCGGAGCTGTGGAGCTGTGGAGCTGCGTAGCTATGTTGAAGTTGGAGATGCGGAGCAAGGGTGGGCGGCCTGTGTAAGTGCCATGAACAAGGACCCGATATTACAAAGAAGTGACGAGCAAAGAACATGAGGCATGAAGGGACGACCCGGGAGAAGGGGAGGGGAGGGGGTAAGGCCTTGGGAGAAGTGGAGAGTCAAGATGGCACTCGAAGATGTGGTCAAGCCAAGAGGAGGCCGGCGAAAGGGACGGAGTCTACGAAGGCGACCTGGGAACGTCCAATGTCCAATGCCATCCAAAGTACAACCTCCACGCCGTCTCCACAATTCGCTCCCAAGACCCAAGACCAATGCCAAGGACAAACTTCGTGAAGAAAGCAGAGGGCGAAGGGCGGAAGGCGCAAGAAGGGTGTAGGCAACGGGTGGCGGAGTGTTTGTCAGGGACGGAAAGTGTCGACAAGGGACATAAGGGACATGGAGGGAACGGACGTCTGGAGATGTGGGTATCCCGAGTCGAGGTTCGCGCTTCTCCAACGCCAACGGCATGTTCGGGGCCCCTCATTTGTACGCTTGTTTAAAGAAACGATTTCGAAAGGCGTGTACACCCTGCTCATGGAAGGAAGCCCCCTTCTGGAAACCAAAGTCTGGATCTGTATTGACCAGGATCCCCCTGTCCTTAGCTCAAGCAATGATTCTTAAAGGGCCGTTTTCGGGATGCCACGAACAAGTGCGAATACAAGTAGGAGCGCTTCCGGGAACTTTGATGGGAAAGTACCTAGCTCAATCCTCCCCGGCGCTGTCGCCTATTTCTTTCGTCTTCCCACGTTGTGCGAGGAGTGGACTTTGGCAAATCTGGGGCACGCCGCGGTTTTCTGCCTTAGTTCATGTACGATCGAGATTGGGCGTGTATCTAAGAGAAGAGGAACACAGGAATGCATGTGCCCACAAATCAGCGGCACGGTCCAAAATGGCCCTGGCATGTCACCCAAATTTGTGCGGAAAAGACTTGGAGAGATGGGAAGAGGAAGGGGGAGGGGTGTGGTGCGTCAAGGCAGAGTTGTGGGCAGGATGGTCCGCAATGAACACGAGATGTCCGCAAGCGCCCTCACCTGGCTAAAAACCTGTCACGATGAACGCGTGAGATAAGCCACTTGCGACCAGAGGAGCGCATCGAGTCCTGAGATGTCCCAATCTGGTAGTCATTGGAGTGAAGGTTGCGTAATCACTCGTCTTCCGCAGGTCGATTCCGAGATATTTGCGCCTTCTTACACTCCATTGATCGTCTAAAGTTGTCCGTTTTCCCTTTGCCAAGAAACCGCCAATGGACTTTGGAAGCTGAACATCTCGTAGACTGTACATGGTGGCTTACGTCCGATAAAGGGGATTTTCGATTTTTGATTTTCTAGCTTCATGTCTCCATGAGACTGGGGAAAAGAGGCGAGCTCCCAACCCCGATAATCACAGCAGTCATGGTAGAGTTGGCCCCGTTGAGGGTTGGTACGCGGCAGACTCCTACGTCGTATCGACTTCCTGCAGCGGACCATCTTGCGGCCCCCGGTAGTAGTTGTTGCCGAACCTTCGACCACGATTGATGGCGTGGATAAGGCCCAAGAAGGCGCTATGGGACAAATTAAATCTTCGAATCCATGTGCATTCGGACTGATAAGAAAATCCTTCTCCTTCTCGAAAAACATCAATCCTCCAGCCCCCATCTAGCGGGAGGCTATTGCCGTTCAAACACGGCGCTGCTCTGCCTAGGCTGGAAGTCGGTTATAGCTACGCCCATGGCCTCTCTATAAGCTACGAGGTAGATGTGTTCCACAGCTTGCCCGCCACGACCGGGGGAAGGAGCAACTCCCGAGTCTTGGGCCCCTCTGTACTACGAGGGGATAATGGGGCAGGCGCGGACGGGCCTTTTCCACTCACCCTGCTTTGGAGGGGATCGTCCTTTCCGATACTTACTTGTACGCCTGGAAGTGGTTGCAGGTGCATCCAAGCAAGAGAGCATCAACTACGAATGAGGTCCGCTGAGTCTTTGCTTTCTCACGCAGGGCAGCGCCGCAGTCAAAGAAACATCGACGTTTGACAGATAGCGCAGCGGCGCCCTGCCATCGCTTGCAAATCTTAATAGGTGGTGTTTGCGCCTTTCGATCTTGTCTCTTTTGCCAACCTTGCCCAGGCGAGAGTTATTCCGACGATTTTCAATGTTTGATGGGTGATGGAATGGGCAAGTGACCTGCTAGGTGCAGCGTGGTGGGTTGGCGCGGCCATTGCTGCCCTGCCAAGGATTGGGGTGGAGCTTTGGAGCTTCATCCACCGCATCACTTGTTCCATTTCTTTACGCCCACCTAGCGTGATACGGATCTCGAGAAAATTAGCTGGGGCATGCGTGGGCCCTTGTTTTCCTTTTTTCCCATATTTTCCATCTTGCTATTTTGTCTCCTTTCCCTTCTCCACCCGCCATCTTCTTCCCCGCACATAGATGGGGAGCGGTCTGAGAGGTCGCAGAGGATACCACGACTAATGCAGATTTCGGTCGAAGTTGACGCTCAAGCCCGGCATCTTTTACAAAAATAACCCACACTTCCCGTCTCAAGGACCCGCTTCTCGACTGCGGGTCCTAGTCTCGGCTGGCCGAGGGTGGGTGGGCGTGACTACCTACCAGCAACGCCTCTGCCTGCAGGGCGGAAAAGGTTGGTGACAACGACGCCCTCGCGACTCATGAAAGATTCTTGGGGGCGCTTACACAGTTGTTGAAGAGTATGGATCCTGGGCTAGGCCCAGCTGCCTTCGCGGGTTTCCTAAACATGATCTCGTCTTCTCCACCCCTCGCCCTCAGTCTTGGCTTACGATCACAGAAATTCCCGCCCTCGCCATGCCCTGTAATATTTAATTCATCTGCCTGCGGAGGTGGACAGGAGGTTAATTGGCACCGCCGAGGAACCGGGGCCTAGCAATTGTCCTGAAGGGAAAGGGCCGCTAGCCTTGCACCAAGTTGAATTCCTCCAGGTTGATTCTTTAAAAATGTATGGCATGCTCAATACCCTGATGGTCTCAGTCTAAGAAAACGAATCGAAGCCAAGACTTGAAGATTGAGCCAGCCCGATACCGTTCGGTTGCTCTTCGCCTAGGAGTCCCGTTTCCCGGGAAATACTTCCTCCTTTCAAAGAGAAGAGAGAGGATGCAGAGAGGTAACGTCGCTTGACTACCACTTGCAGTGTGAACCCCATGAAAGGAGGACCCGCGCTCGATGACAACGGGGCGGATACGACCTAGCCAGCACTTGGCCTATCAAAATGGGAAGAACTGGTGTGGAACGGGATGAGGAGGTGCATGCGGGCAGGCGAGGCCTCGTTCGCCTGCAACACATGGGCGGACATGCAAACCGGGCTCCGCATCTTTCAGCACGAAGGCGCTTCACAAGCTCGAGACGACGCGGGGCGCCCCAAATCAAGTCTGCGATTGTTGGAAATCGCTTCGTAGCCTAGTGAGGTCGAGACGAGAGCCCTGCTGCTTAGGGGTCTCCTGCGGCGTATCCCTCGAACCTCGTCCATATGGCCAGCCAAGTTAATTTTGCCTGGTACCGAAACGAATGTCTCTGTTTGTTTGGCGAATGGGCGTCACGGTCACCATTGGACCAGGGAAGAAAATGTGAAAGAGGCAGTAGAGGTTCGATGGTGCTTCTACAAGAATTGGTTCATGTCACCCTGAGTCTGCTCCTGCGATGCACCCTCACCTACCGCTTCCTACCGTGTTCTTTCATCTGGTTGGCCCCCACCTTCCGCTCCGTTCTCCAGAATAGTTGAAAGGGTTGGCGGCAAGTGGAGCCATCCGCACCTCAATTTCTCAAAGGATGGCGAGGAAAGAATCACAATCAGTGGAGCTCTGGACACTGCAAGCTTACGGTCAGCCCACCGCAAGTGCTGTACCACCCCTCACCAAGTTACAAAAACCGTAACCATCGCGCCGCTCGCGCTCGCCTCGACCGGCAACTGAGGTCCCCACAGCAGGATTGTCCTGTGAAATGCCGAGACTAACTCGGAGATTTCCTTTGACGACAACCACGCTCTCGGTTAGTGGTACTCGAAGTATCCGTTTGAAAAAAGAAAGAAAATTGGAGAAGTGGGAACAGGGCCTTGGTGGGCGAGAAATCATGGGAGAAATGAGTCGACACTTGTGTGTTGCCACAGAGCTGGGGTATACTGGCGAGGTTTGTAGAGACAGGACTTAACAAT